AGCATTGCTATTCTTCCATGATACAAATTCATGTGGAAAAACTTGTTGAGTTTTGCCACGGCCAGATGAAAAACACAGCGTTTCCTAACTAGCTAATTAAGCTCAATGAACATTTTTGGGATGGAACCATAAACTCTGGCCATTGTTTTGTCAAACATCTGCAAACTGCATAACTCCTCAGCCCTTAGCCATAGTTTCTGTTCAATATCTTAAAGCTGAGTTTAGTTCCACTGTGACTTGTCTCAGGGCTGAAGTCAGTGTTAGTCATCAAAGTCTGGAATGTCATCATAGGAGTAACCCGGTAGCCTTTAGACGCATAGTAGGCGATGCGCAGATGGTAAAATCCTGGCAGGAACACCAGAATGCCAATAATCAGGACAGGAATGGCCCGGTCTGCCCCCCCCTTTGCTAATGTAGCCTGACAGCAGGAGGGAGTCTATGATAATGAGAAAGGCACCAATCAAAAACAGCACAGTGGCAAGTGCAATGGCCTTATAAGGGATCTTAGGAGGGCTTTTCTTAAACTGAAGGTCAATGTAACCATCATCCGTACTGGAGAGCCTTGAGTATTTTACTTTACTACTGGGGATTCCAGTAGCCAGATTAATACAAGACGGCATCATAACACACGGACACAGCTACAGTCCGAGCACCGCGCTAAGACTGGAGCTAGAGAGGAACTTGCCCACGGTTACCAGCCGAGGCGTCCCAGGCCTCATGGCACAGCCAACCTAACCGCCGACATAGCAAGTATCAGCTGGCCGCCGGAAGTCTGGATCTTTTTTTAATATTTAGTTTTAATTGTAGATGGACATAATATCTTTATTTTATTTTATGTGGTGCTGAGGATCAAACCCAGGGCCTTACACGTGCTAGGGGAGCGCTCTACCGCTGAGCTACAACCCCAGCCCTAGGTTTGGATCTTAAAGACTCCCCCCCAAAGCTCTTGTGTTCAAGGCTTGATTCTCAATGCAGCAGTGTTCAGAGGTGGGCCTTGGGGAAGTGATTAGAATGTGAGGGGACAAATTCATAGTGGATGGGTCCACAGATGGATCCATAGCTTCTTGGGCTATTGGGCAGTGGTGGAAACACTGGGAGGTGGGTTTATTTGGAGGGGTCACTGGAGTGCCTATCCTTGAAGGGTATATTTTGTTCTTGATTTTCCCCTCTTGCCCCTCACTTCCTTCCTGGCCACCATAAGGTGAGCAGCTATGTACTACCTTGCCACAGAATCAATGGGAGTAAGTGACTATGGACTGAAACCTCTGAAACTGTCAGCCAAAATAAATCTATCCTCCTTCTAAGCTGATACTTTCAGTCAAGTATTTCGTTACAGGAATGGATAGCTGACTAACATAACTGTCCCTCCTCCCTTTCAGGGGTTTCAGGCACCCTCCTGCAAAGCCCACTGTCACACAGGGCAGGCCCTGCTGGGTGAGCTTTACCAGGCAGGAGCCAGGATCTGGCTGAGCATCCCAAGCTCAGGCCACAGAGCCCCTGAGAGGTGACATTTACACACTGAACACCTCCCAATACACCCTCAAGATAAGTTAGATAATGGACTACAGGTGTAGCCCAGCTGTACTACACCAGTGGGAGAGGATAGGTTGCCAAGAGTCCAAAGAAGAAACACAGAAATGGGATGTGAGACAGAAAGTTTATTGAAAAATGACTACAGGGAAGATCCAGTGGTGACATGCTAGACAGATACTTTGTCAGAAAGGTCCTGTGGAGCAGGCCAGACAGGTGCTTTGCCAGAAAGTTCAGGGTAGAGGGGCTGGACAGGTACACCTGCTTCACACAGTGCCTCTGGTGCTTTATAAGTCAATAGTCCCTCCATCCCCATGACACTGTGTCCAGCAGGAGCCAGCTGGATGAGCACTGCCCTCTGGACCAGTCACCACAGGGAGGGGGCATTTATAGATTAGATTACTAGATTACAGAAGCAGTGACAGCATCAGCATCAGTTTAGCCTGCTTTGTCCAATTGTATGACCATATTTCAAGGAACTTGGCCTGCATGCAAGAAAGTAGCTTTCTGCAGATAGCACTAACTTACCCTAAATCCCATCAGACACAAGAGAAAGCCAGTGCCTTCGACATAATGTCTGCATCTGGACATTCTGGCCTGGACCTACTCCCATTATTCCCTTATGTGCCCTAGATTCTGAGGAGTGGAGATGGGTGCTTCAGGGATAGTGTTTCACTCTCCTTTTCTCTGAGGATGACACAGGGACCTCTGAGACCTCTGAGGTGACTGATTCCTCCCAGAGCTGCTGAAAGAGTGGAAACAACTGACTCTCAGAAAGTAACTTTGAGAAACAAGAATGTGTCAGAGGAGTGAAGGGCAGTATTTCCCAGAAAATCTCCCCACTGCTTGCAAACCCTTCTCTTTTTCTAGTGGCCCTGCCCAGGTTTCTCTATACCAGGTTTAATTATCTTCTGTTTGACTTCATGAATTGGAGAGAAAAGTGCTCAGGGGTCTTTATTAAAAGGTCTCACTATTTATGCATTGAAATATGTAATAGAGGGTCACTCTGCTGCACTGAAGGGGGCTTACTAGGAAAATATCTTCTTTCCCTGTAGCCAAAGATGTTCCGAGTCATCAGCTCAGTCAATCTCCTCCAGCATGGCTGCTTCTCAACCACAGACTATGATGTGAATAATGCTCCCGGAAATTGTGCAGTTCACAACCCGCACAAACATATATAGTAGTCTCTGGGGCAGATCAAGAGCAGCTGAATTGCCCTGGGCGACTGGGCTGGCCAAGGTGTCCATCAGGTTTTAGTCCCAGATTTCAGGAGACCAAGTCTATTGCTGCTGATACGCACAGTAACAGAGGATCATAAACAAGCAGAGCAGGACAATGAATAGACCCAGCAAGATATTCAGCATGGTTTCCATTTGTGGTGTGGGGAGAGGGTTAGGGCTTCTGTAGGCCCAATGTGGCTAGTTGCTGACTTCTCATTTAGACCCTAGGCAACACCTCCTTGGAACAATCTCTCCAGTCAGCCCCAACTCCATCTCCTCAAGGGAAGGGGCTGTAGGCCCTGAGGATCCCTCAGCCACTATGAGGTCACAGATTCCCAGATGGTAGAATTTTGCTTCTCAGCTGTAGCCAAATCCGTCATTAATGCGATACAGGAGTTATTCTGGTATGTAATCATTTACAAGTGTCTCTTGATACTTGCTGAACAGAAGTGTCTTTTTCCAGTCCCTACAAAAACATCAGGGTGGTCTCGTAACTCTTCTGACCATTATTGGGTAAGAACAAGTCTTGCAAGGGCTGGAGGTGTAACTCAGTGGTAAAGTACCCGCTCAGTATACAACACACACACACACACACACACACACACACACACACACACTCACACGCACTCACACGCACTCACACACATGCCTATCCAACTCTTTATTGCCTATCAAATAGTAATTTCTTGTGCTTCATCAGCTGAAACATCCATTTTGACATCCTTGTCACACCATGATTAACAAGCCTCGACTACTCTTCTTAGATGCTCAGCCTCCTTGTAGGCACTAGGAATGCAGAAATGGACCAGCCAAGATGACTTCCCTGGCATTATGGGGATGAGTAATGCAAAAGAAAATGTAGGTTTGAATCGTGGCTCTGTCCATCCCCAGCTTTCTGAGGGCAGTTGTGCCTTACTCTCCAGTTGAGGGCAAAGAGGCCTCAGTCTAATTAGGCAGGAGGGAAAGCCCTTCGGAGGGTGTCCAGGCTCAGAAGCAGGGGCAATGGGAAGGACATGTTCTCGGCTTCCTGCTTGCTTTTCTCTTCTAGCTCCAAAGGACTACCAAAGCCAGAGAGTCTCACACCTGAGCTGATGAGAACAGGGGCCACAAGCCATGTGGAGCTCCCCTACCCTGAAAATACAGCCAATTTGAAATGCAATATGCTGTGAATGTGAACACACCACATTCCAAAGACTTCATACAAGAAGAAGAATGGTAGATATCTCATTTGTAATTTTAAACTATTGCTACATGCTGCCATAATATTTTAGTTACAGTATGGGGCTAAATAAAAATACATAATTAAAATTTATTTTTATTATTTTTTTAAAATTTAAAGGTGACTTAGAAATTGTAAAATTACATATGTAGCCTGCATTATATTTCTTCTGGACAGGGAGACCTTAAATTTGTCAAACAAAGCACGATTTCTCTGCCTCACGAAGAATACCACAGGGCTAGGGCTATTACTCAGTGGTACAGCACCCTGGAGTCAATCCCCAGGACCACAAAAAGAAAAAGAAACCCCACAGGGACCTCTGGCTTAATTCTCACAGCAGAGTTACAAGGGAGGAGCCACGACTACCCATTTTTCAGAATCAAAAACCAAGGCTGGTCACTAGTGAGGGGGTGCATGAAGAGTGGGAGCAAGAGGAGGAGGCAGGAGAGGACTGTGTGGCCTCAAGAATGCATCCTGAGCCCTTTGTCTAGTGTCCTCCCAGCCACAGCACCTCAAGGCTCCTCCCCACATGTCCAATATTCTCAGAGTCTCAGAATCCCATGGACTTCTCCCAGGTATAGAACATGTGGTGTTCTCACACTCCATGACCCTCATTTCCCTCGTGGTTGTGTAGGTCAATTCTGGATTTCTCCACTGTGACAGTGAACTCAGAAATCTTCCTGGGAGGCCCCCTCCTCCTCAGCGCCAAGGGCAGCATTGCCCATGTCTAAGAGGCACACCTGGCCCAGGACACAGGCAGAATTCATTATTGTGAGAATTTGGGGGCATGAGCCCATCCCCAAGCCTGTCTTTGATAGGCTGTGAGAATCTGGTCAGGTCTCTACTGCTTCAAGGGCTTTATCTGCCTGCCAATCCATGCATTTTTAGGACGAAGTTTGGTAAAGAACTCATTCCCTGCCTGCCTCTCTGGACTCCTCTCCTTCTCACCCTCTGGTACAAAGAAGTACATGGGTAGAACTCATTCATTCTTTCTACTGTGGCAGCCACTGAACTAGTGCTAAAATACAGGGGTGAATCAGGCAGATGTACACTGGATAGGGAGACAGAAAGAATTAGAAACTAAACACATTCGCAAACTTAACCTAGTAACAGAGCCTATTGAGGAAGGCTGACCATATTCCTACAGATTAATGACAAATCAGTGAACAAGGAATAGCTTCAGAACAAACAGAAAGGCAAAGTATATAAGGGAAGATTTCTTCAAAACTTCCAGGCCACTTTGGAAAACTATCTCCATCCTTCCAGTCAGAAGCGGACCTCCTCTCCTCCAGGGGCGCTATAAAGCCGCGCGCCCGGGTTCCGCCCTGTGGAAGTGCCGCTCTAGGCCGCACGCCGCGCGCGTAGCCCTATTTCCGCCGTCGCGGGCTAAGAAAAGGGAGGTCTTGTCGCGTGCTTGTTCTTTTTTGGCGTCCCGCGCGCTCTCTCGCCATCTCTCGAAATCCCCAAGCATCCTGCAACTTCCCCAGCTGTCTGCTCTGTCTCCGCCGCTTCCCGGCGCCAGGGCGTCGGGGTGAGTTTCCTGCGGGGTATGTGGTCTGCGCCTCTCGCTCCGTTAGAGGAAACCGAGGCTCCAAGGAGCGGAGAGGCCCCTGGGGGTCATCGTCCGGCGGGGTCCGTCTCACCCGGTGTGTGTGTAGCCCTATTTCCCATGTCCCGGGAAAAGGCCCACGGAAGGCAGCGGCCTAGGCCGCCCCCAGCCTCGTGCGGAGTAGGATTGCCTCGGGCCTTGAGCCTGGCAGAGGGTGCAGAGCTTCTGGGTTTTTCACACCCAGTCCTCGATCTCCGACTCGGGGCATTAGAAAGCCCGAAGCTCTTTGAGTCGTCTAGACAGGCTCAGTCTTTGTGCCACGTCGTAGGAACGTTGGCTCACGTTCCCCTCGGCCGCTTTTTAAGGCTAGACCTAAAGCCCATTTTGGACACTGGTTGGTGGATGTTTAAGTCCTTGCTGTGCTTTTTTTCTTTCCTGTGTTTTTTTCTGCCTAGGCCTCGCTGTGAACGCCTCTCCTGCAGACATGAAAGCTCTCTCCTGGATGTTTCTTGCTGGTTCTGCAGCAGCCAGCGCCCTCTTCTCTCTGGATTCCCTCGGGGGCGTTCAGCCTCCAGGGGGAGGATGTCCCCGGGTAAGTACTGCTATTCATGGGCACTAGAAACCAGGGGTGACTCCTGGATTGTCTTCTGTGGACACCAGCAGAGGGGAAGGTGGTAGAGCTCTGTGGTGTTCCGAGAACTGCGTGGCAAAGCCCCTGTGCGGAGTGAAGCCTGGGGTAAGGGAGGAGTAGAAAGTCAGATCTTGGCTAAGTTTCCTCATTTTCTTGAGCTTTACTTTCTGTTAAGTAGGGAAGCTGCCAAAGTTCCATGAGGGCAGAGAGCCTCTGACTGCTCTTATTTTTGAGCCCTCAGGCCTGCCTAAATGCAGATAACTAATTTTGTGCTTTGAGTGATTAGTTTTAAGCATTTTGATGGAAAGTGATCTTTTTTGATGGGGGTGGGTAGAATTGTTTAATTTTTTGCTCCATGGATCCTGGGCTTGGATGGGTTTCTTTCTCCTCCTTGGACTGTTTGTGTGAGCTAATATCCTAATGTGGGCTTCTTTTTGGGCTCACCTGCCATTTTCTGCCCCTGTATCTGATTTGGGGTTGCCTGTACCTTTCTTTTATGGTGCAGGGAGAAGAATTGCTGAATGTGGATTGTCCACACTCAAGGGTTCACTGTTCTTTTTTTGTACTGGGGCATGAACTGGAGTTTAACCCTTGAGCCACATCCTCAGCCCTTATGTTTTATTTAGAGACATGATCTCATTAAGTTGCTGAGACTGGTTTTGAACTTGAGATCCTCCTGCCTCATATTCCTGAGCTGCTGGGACACAGGCATGCGTCACCACTCCTGACTTTTTAAAATGATCCTTCTTGCCAATTTTAGATGCCTCCTTGCACCTGGCTTCTGGCATACCTGTGTTGTGTCTGAGGTGTCAACAGACACAACACAGGTGTGGGCCCCCTTTTGCCCTCCACTTCTCAGAAGTGACAGGAAGACTGGTAGAAATTATAAGACTGCAAGCCAGAGACTGGGTATGAGTGGTACTGAATCGAAAATCTGACAGTATTTCCACTGAGGCACGCTGACGACCAGAGCTGGTCACTGGAAATTAATTTAAACACAGGTCTGTTCATCCCAACACACTGCTGCCTTCCTCCCAACATCTCACCTAGGGACTCCCAGACCCCAATCAAGTTCTGAAAGCACCTTCTCTGCAGCAGCTCTACAGAGGAGGAAGAAGGCCCAGACCTGTCCTGCTAGATAAGGGAAAAGAGCTCAGAGAAAAGGAAGCAATGTGACCTGGCGTTCTCATTCCCTGCTCCAGACCACCTAAACACTGCCAGCCTCGAAGCCTGCAGAGAACATTCATTCCAGAGAACCAGGCAGGGCACCACCTACCTAGTACTTCACAATCCCTGCTCTTGCAGAGGACAGATAGACATCTACCTACCTGTTTACCTCTCTCTCTCACAGCAGTCACATGGCACTCCCTCAGGACACAGCCCACTTGGCACTGCTTACAAAATGTCTAAGAGACCATGATATTCACCAATAGGAAAACAGCTGGGAAGCACAGTCTCTGGTGGTTATGCACCAAAAGCTCTAGCACAGGCTCAAGTAACTGCCACTATCCCACTAAGGCTATGGCTTCTGGAAGGGAAAAAAGTGGACCCTCTGCRTATGAGGACACCTTGAGACTTTTCCTATATTACCAAAGATCAATACASAGGCAGCCTGTAATCACTTTGAATGCAGGGGAAGAAACAAAGGGCAAAGGGCTTGCTAAAACTGGAGACCAGTGTCAAACACATGGAAAATGGCCTGGGCTGGGACAGCAGCACAGCAGAGCACAGTCCTAGCAGTTGTCATCTTATCCTGCATACATAAACTTAACCCGTACCAGCCAACCACAAGAGTCAAACAGAAGACCCTCCAAATAAGAAAGGTCCTTCTGTTGTGTAAGATAGGGATTATGTGTCTGATATCAGAGTCAGAAGCAACTTCTGGGATTACTACTGCAAATGTGAGCATTTTCTTGTTGCTGGTCTCTTCCCAGTTGAGGTCATTTCCCAAGATGGTGGCCACAGCCTCCTTTCTCGCCTTTTCTGCCCCTGTATTCGAAAGTGATCATGGGCTGCCTGTGCCCTGGTCATTGGTAGTGCAGGGAGAGGAACCACTGAAAGCGTATCCCCGTGTTTGGAGGGTCCACTTCTGTCCTTGCCAAACCCTGGAGCTTTCCCACACCTCTGTCCCCCTTTTTGATGGTGGGATGCTGGCATCTAATTGAATGCGTTGGCTCTTTTCCCTGGCCCAGGGCAGGTTGTTATGTTACATGAGGGAAGAATGTGGGTGCTTGGACTTGACTCCCAGGAGTAGTGCATTAGGTGTGGAGTCTTGCCAGTGGCCATCACCTGCCAGAAGTGTTCTCTGCCTGTATCCTCAGGCCCCCACCCCCCATAGAGCTAATCAGACTGGATGGAAGTTGGTGCTTTGCTTGTCTCTTTACTCTGAGGTGATCCTGAGGGCAGTATCTTCCTCTGTATCTTGCTTTGCTCTGAATGCTAGAGGGTCAGTGTTCTGTCAGGGTAGGGCAAATGAAAAAGGGGGAGTCTATCTCCTGTAAGGGAGATGGGGTTCATTACCTCGTGGAGTGTTGGCAGGGAGGAGATGCTGAGTATGCAACCTGAGTATGGATGTGTGGAGGTTCAGGGTACGATTAGGTGTTTTTTTTTTTTTTTTTTGTCCCACTGGAAGAATTCTACATGTGGTCTACTTCTGTAGGTCCTGGCCTCTTGTGGCCTTGGGAAAGGTTCTTTGGAAAGGCTTTTCCTCCAGCTGTGGGTAAGGGGGCAAAGATCCAGGGTGGGCAGAGCAGAATTTAATTTGAGGGATTTATGGCAGCAGCCCATACTAACACAACCCCCCTGCACCATCACCTCTTCCAGGTTGCCCAGATGCTGCTAGAGAAACACAGCGCACTCAACACCCTTTTGAACAGAGCCCTTAGTAACACTGATTTAGATTAAGATCTCCTGAGATAACACTGATTTAGATTAAGATCTCCTGCCCCTTTCCTAGAGGTAAGCTGCTTGTCTTGTTCCTATAATAAATCTTGGCTATTTAGGTGATGGTCATAAGTGTTTAGTCAACATTTATGTGCCAATGTGTACAGAGGCTTGGCCATAGGTGTTTTCATACAAGAGAAGGTCAGACCACAGGTGCTGAGATAAGCATCTCTGGTTCGTTCTCTGGAGAGTGACTTTCTGCACCCTTTAAAGTCATGTTCCTGTTCCCTTGTGCATGGGGTGGTGATGAAGGGGGAGGCAAGGATGATAAAGGATTGACTTTTATTGAGGAACCTGGATCACATTTGGCCCTTTGCATGCCTTTGGAGGCTGTGCGGAGCAGGTGGTTCTCGAGGTTGCAGAGCTCTGGAGCTTTTCTGTAGTGCAGCAGTGGCAAATCATGGTGAGAAGTGGTGGAATTGGGCATCAGAGCCACTCACACCTGCTGGTGCTTTTTATTAAGGCACTAGCGATTGAACCATTTTGTCACTCAGCTATATCCCCAGCCCATTTTATTCTATCTTTAAATTTTCAGATGGGGCCTTGATAGATTGCCCAGATTGGCCTCCTGCCAGCATCTCTGAAGTCACTGGGATTACAGGTATGTGCCACCACCCCATCCATACCTGCTTCTTAAATTCTTTTTTGCCACCATGTCTGACTAGTTTCTTTCTAGTTTTACTCGATGGTTAAGATTTATCATAGCAGCAGACAGAGGATATACAGCCAAATGTTAAAGGAAAAAAGGACAAAGGTAGGGTCAGGAGGAGTCTGCAGGCTTTTTAAGGCTGTTTCCATCCCTCATCCCTTGCAGGGAACCCATTCTTCCCCAGCAGTGGGTAGGCCTCCCCATGTTTGCCGTGTTTCTGCTCAGAGAAGCCCAATAGAGACTTGAGCCCAGGGCTTGTACTGAAGTCTGGTCATGTGAATACCATCTGCCTGGCATGCAGTAAAAGTCCAGGCTCCCAGGAGGAATGTAAGTGCTGGGTCTAAACCACACTGTTTGCAGTCTGGGCTTGGTGAGCCACCCTGTTCAGTTCCCTGCTGAGATGGGAACATGCCGAGACCCAGGTTCCCAGATGCCAGCCAGGGGCTGGTCTGACCTATTTTGAACCTCAGTTTCCTGGTATGGAAAACAAAAGATGTAATAAATAGGTCTTATGGACATGTCCATGTGAGCCTGATCTCTGGCCTGTAGGTTTTTCCAGTATTTTTTGTTGGAAGTATCTCCTCTGTTTCACCTTGGCAGTTTTAAGGGGTTTTGTATGCTAGATGGCAGCTGCAGGATTCCTGTGCTCTTTGTCTTGGACTAGGCCCCTGGCATTAGTTTCCTGTCCTTGGCCCGCCCTTGATCTTTCTTTGGTCCTGCATTCGAAAGTGATCATGGGCTGCTTGTGCCCTGGTCATTGATAGTGCAGGGAGAGGAATGGCTGGAAGACATTTTCCCCGTGTTTGGAGGGTCCACCCATCCCTTCCAAACCCTGTAGTTTTCCCACACTCCAGTTTATCTTTTGCCAACTCTTATAGTTGTTTCTGGGTGCTTCATGATATCTGGCTGGGGATGTCATTTGTGGATTATATGTGGAAGAGTTGCCCAGAACAGAATCCAGTGTTGTGAGGTGGCGAGTGCAGGGTTGTGTGTGCCTAAGTTAGGGCTAAGATAGGGTATTATTACATGTTGTCCTTTAATAGAGATTCCTAAGTGTGTACTAATAAGAGGAAGGAAAAGGTGAGTGCTCATAGTGGTAGGGTGTTCAGCTCAGTACACCACCTCACTTCCCAGTCCGCATGGCTCCTCTAGGTTTTGCCTGCTCCGTGTCCCTATGAAGTATACATTGGCATGACTCACTGGCCACTGTTCTGTGCTTATTATTCCTCTGCCATTTTTCCTGGCCTTTGGGGCTCATCTTAGAATGCCTGGTTCTCAGACTGACCCTGGAGGAATGGGTGAAATTGTAAGATAAAGAATGAGCTGGGCTCAGTGGTGCATGCCTGTAATCCCAATGGCTGGGGAGGCTAAGACAGGAGAATCCCAAGTTCAAAGCCAGCCTCAGCAGTGGTGAGGTGCTAAGCAACTCAATGATACCCTGTTTAGGGATTTGGCTCAGTAGCAGTTCAGTCCCCAGTGCCCATCCCCCCCAAAAAAAGAATGAAGGAAAGTATAAAAATTTTTAAAAAATGAGTTGGGTGTGGTAGTGCATGCCTATAATCCCAGTGACTTGAGAGACTGAAGGAGGATCACAAGTTGAGGCTAGCCTCAGCAACTTAGTGTGAAACCGTCTCAGAATCAAAAAGGGCTGGGGGTGTCGCGCTCAATAGTGGAGCGCTTGCCCAGCATGCCTAGCATGAGGCCAGAGAAGGGAAAAAATGAAGAAAGAAGTGGAGAGCGACGAGAAGTCTGTTTGTCACCTTTTAGCCCCTTCCATCCCCACTAAGATTTATTTTTATTTTGAAATGAGGATTTTGCTGAATTGTTGAAGCTGATCTCAATCGGATCTTCCTGCCTTAGATCCCAAGTTGCTGGAATTACAGGCTTGCACTAACCACTTGATGAGAGATGGGTTTTTTAATTCGTGAACGTCTTGGGTGATTGACTATTAAATGATGTATGTGGCTTCTTGTCTCTGCAGGATTGTCAGGTGTCCTCTGTGCCTAGCAGCCCCCTGTCATTAAGAGGAGGCTGAAAAAGAAAAAAAGGGGAGGCTGGGCTATGATGCTCCTGAGGTGTGGATCCTGGATGCTTCTCCAGAGAGAACAGTGATGTTCAGCTTCAAGACCAAGGCAAAGGCTGCTTCCTTTTGTTTGCTCCCTCACTATGGCCTGCAGGGACATGCTCCCCAAACTCTCCTCTCCCATTCTGAGAAGCAGAAGAAGCTTTTGTTAAACACAGTAGGTATTATAGAGCTCCCCTTGGTTTCCAGGAGCTCTGCAAGGACCTATGTAGCCCTCATCCTTCTTGGTTCTGTAGTAGCTTGTTAAAATGCTTTGGGAAGTCAGAAAGTTAGCTGGTGTTTTTTTCTGAACCTTGGTGGGATACTTTTTATGACTCAGTTCCAGACCTAATGAACTCAACATTACTCCCAAAATTTGACTTCCATCTCATTGTTAGGCCAAAGCTTATGAACCCCCAAGTACCTTTGAGAACCAGGGGCAGCTGCTGCAGTTACAACCAGTAAACTTAGTTACTGTGTCCCTTTTCCGAGTCACTATGTCTCTCAGCCTAGCCAGGGCCCTTACCTCAGCTGCTGGCCCTGGCCTGTCATTTTTTGCCCCTGTATTCGAAAGTGATCACGGGCTACCCGTGCCCTGGTCATTGATAGTGCAGGGAGAGGAATTGCTGAAAGYGTTTCCCCGTGTTTGGAGGGTCTGCATTTGTCCCTTTCAAACTCTGGAGCTTTTGTACATATATTGTCTCTCACTCTCTTACCTCCTGATACCTGGTGCTGAGGCCACTGCAGTGCACCTTCTAGCATGGTGTGGGCACTGGGGCCTTATAGAAAGGGAATCAAGGCGGGGCTCTGCCCCCGGGGACTTTGTTCATAGGCTGATTTTGCAATCACAATAGAGGTCATTTCTCCTCTATCTTTGCCTCATGCTTCTTGTTCTTAGCCCCAGCTCTGGTCACTGGTCACTGTGGTCTTGCTCTTCATACCCTTCTCATGTACTGGGAATTGAACCTAGGGGCAATTAATCACTGAGACACATCCCCAGCTTTTTTTTTTTTTTTTTTTTAATTCTGAGATAGGGCCTCCCTGAGTTGCTGAGGCTGGTTTTGAACTCAAGATTCTCCTTCCTCAGCCTCTTGAGTAGCTACTGGTGTTGGCCACCATGCTTGTTTGCTGTAAGCTTCTTCAGGGCAGTGGCTCTATGTCTCTATATGTCTTGTCACAATCTGCTTTGGGCCTGGAACTCTTGTCACTTTTGGACAAAAAGGAGGCAAGTTCCTATAAGGATAGAGTTCTTTCCATTGAGCAGTCACAGGAAAATGCCCTTGGATAAGGCAGCCTGCCTGGGGTTGAGGCATTTGTCTCATTTTCTTCTCCCATTTGAGGAATTTCTTTGGTGATGAAACTTAYCTTATTTTAGTCTACCCATAGACCTTGCCCTAAAGAGGGCCCAAGGTCGGTCCATCAGGTGTGGATTTTCCCACTGGTCTTCAATTAAAGGGGCAGGGACTACAGTAGTAATCAAGGATGGCAAAACACAAAATGGACAGATAGGTGAACTCAACCCTTACACACCAGACGGTAGACACAGGCCCCCACCACCTCTCTCCTTCCCCTGATCTGTTCCAATCACTGAGGTCTGTAACATGTTGTAAAATAATAAAGTGGTTATCCTAGTAAAGCAGATTAACATCTGTCACACAGGACTTTTTTCCCTACTGGGGATTGAACCCAGAGGTGCTTAAGCACTGAGCCATATCCTAGCCACTGTGCCTGTCTGGGCTGGGATTATCTTTTTTTTTTCTTTTTTTTTAAGGTATGTGTATTGCAAGAGCAATTAAAATCTTAGGAAATTAATTTAACAAAACCTCTTAACATGGTATGATAATCCTCATGCTAACTCAGTCTACATATCAGAATCATTTGATTTATTCTGGCCCATTTCCCACTACTACCTGCTTTCTAGTCCACATATAAGTGAGAGCTTTTGGCTTATCTCACATAGCATAATGTCCTCTAAGTCCATCTGTGTAACAAATGGCAGTATCTCCTTTTTTAAGGCTGAATAATATTCTGTTCCCTTACTCTGTCTCAGTATGTGTAGACATATATATAATTTTCTTGATCTCTTTGGGTTCATGTTGTTTCTGTGTCTTGGACATGGGGAAGGGTGCTGTGGTGAACATGGGCATTCCTCTGTCTTTATGAAGTGATTCATCTTCGGGTGTGCGCCCAGAGGGGGAATAACTGAGTGTGTTATACATTGATAAGGAACAAATTGACAGTTGGTGCACAAATACATGGATGTTACTCCTGTCAAGACACTGTAAAAACTGAGCTTCCAAGGTATTTTTGTTTTTTAACTCTTATTAAACAAGAACCTGCTGATTGGGAGTCCCTCAGTGTTGTCAGTTTGGACAGGAGAAGATGGTGCCAAACTTACTACTTTTCTCAACTGTCTAGGTCTCATACCTGTAGAAGCAGAGACTATTGAAGGACATTCCCAGGCCAGGGAGTGGCCCTTGGGATGATTGGGATCTGGGTGTGCTGATACTTCTCATTGTGGTTAAGTTAATGCTGGGGGCCCTGGAAGCCACTATCAGAAGCTGAGGGCAAATGAAACCCCAGACCACTATCTCACAGCCTTTTCTTTTAGATCTTGGTGCTGTTCATGGACACTGGAGGGGCAGAGAATTGAGAGTGATGTCATCCCATGAAGCTTCACTGCCAGCTGTATGCGGAGACCATTGAGAAACTAGGGCCATGGACAGGAAAGCCCAGCTCCATCTGTCTGCCTGTACCTGCAGTGACTTTTTTTTTTTTTAAAGTCATGGTCTCTAAGTTGAACAGGCTGGCCTTGAGTTTGCCATCCTCTTGCCTCAGCCTCCTGAGTCACTGGGGATTACTGGCATGTGCTGTGGTGGCTGGCTCTGGACTTTCCCTTGGTCTTTATGTCCTCCCATCCCCCATTCAATAAACATTTCCTTTTTTTTTTTTAATGTTGATGGGCCTTAATTATTTTACTCATTTATTTATGTGCAGTGCTGAGAATTGAACCCCATGCCTCACACAATCTAGACAAGTGCTCTACCACTGAGCAACAAACCCTGTCCCCTCTGCCTGCCTCTTAAATTAGTAACAACCTAAATAGGAGGCTGGATGTGGAGGCAGGGTATGTGAGATGTGTAGTCAGGACTAGGAAGTGACTGACTGCTGCTCACATTCAGGGATTGTGAGCAGAGGGCTGTGCTAGCTTTTTGTCACTATGAAAAAATACCTGGTGTGAACAAATTATGGGAGGAAAGATTGATTTTTGTCTCAACTGTCAGATTAGTCCGTGGTTGCTGGCTTCGTTGCTGTGGACCTTAGATGAGGCAGGATGTGATGAAAGGTGTGGCTGAGGAAAACTGCTTAGCTCATGGCAGCAGCCCAAAAGCAGAGGATGGAGGGATAAGCGGGAAACAAATAGTTCTAGTAACCTTCCTCCAACTAATCACTGGCTCCCCATGATGGCATCAAATTATTAATCCATCAGTGGATTTCACTGATGAGGAACCATCCAGTCCCTTTCCAAAAGGGATTTTAACATTGCTGTCCTTGTTAACAAGTCTAGCACATGAGTCTTTGGGGGACATGTATCCAGGCCATAAGCACTTTAGGATAGTCAAGCCAGGAGTTTGAAAGGGTGGTTAGTATTAGGAAGACCACGGTGTCCATAAATTGAGGGCTTAGGCAGGAAGTGGGACCTCATTGCTAAAACCAGAAAAGTAGGTAAATGAAGTAGTTGGCCAGCCTCCCATGGACATAAACTGCATGGTGTTATCGTGAGAGGCTGTGGTGTAAGGGTGTGAGTAGTGAGAACGTGGGCAGCCACTATTGGAACAGGATGGGCAGGCGGAGGACGGATGTGGCTAGTGGGTAATTGCAGCAAAGAGATGATGCATTAACCAAGTCCTTGTATCAACTCATCCCCCTTTTACAGAGGGTCAGATCTGGGCATAGAGAAAACATCCTAAGGGTCAGGACAGAAGGATGGATTCTTCCTTGTAAAGATTTGTTAACATTTCTAGAAAATGGCCTCAAATGAAAGGCCTAAATAATAAGATAAAGCTGGTCCGATAAGACCTCAGGGACAAACTTGATCTAAGATTAACTACAAATGTCATTAAAGCTGTGTCTTATTTTAGTGCTGGGGATTGAAAGCTGTGGCTTCCTGACAAGAAATCTTTGATCCATCCTGGAATAGACAAAACCAAGGGGGCGGGGAATATAGCTTAGTGCTTGCCTCATGCACAAGGCCCTGGGTTCAGTCCCCAGCACCACCAAAAAAACAAAAAAAAACAAAAAATTCTATCCCATTGTTAGGGACAATTGCATGTTGTCCATTTGCAGGAGCATGAGAGAGTCTTGAAGGTTTGATATCCAACAGGAAGGTGTGATATGGCTATGAACTGTTAACTGGTCATGCCTTAAAAAATATTCCTGCCAGTGTTGCTTTTGGGTTTCAGCCACTTGCCTCTTTAAAACAGAAGTGACTGTTTGTTAGAAGTTTTCCCAATAAAAATCAGGCTTGCTTTCAGTGTCAACTCTTGGTGGTTTGTTCTTTTAAATCAGGGATTGGCAAACTGGCCTATAGGTCAAACCTGGCCCACTGTTCTTTTTTTGGTACCAGGGATTTAATCCAGGAGTACTTAACCATTAAGCCAAATCCCCAACCTATTTTATATATTTTGTGTAGAGACAGGGTCTCCCCGAGTTGTTAGGGCCTTGCCAAGTGCTAAAAGAGCCTTTGAATTCATGATCCTCCTGCTTCAGCCTCCCCAGCTGCTGGGATTACAGGCAGTGTACCACCACGCCTGGATCATTGCTTGTTCTTGTGACATTTATAGTGACATTTCTTGTCTATGGGTATTTTCTGCAATGGCAGAGGTAAGTTGGAACAGAGATGATATAGGCCTAAAATATTGACTATCTGTTGCTCTTTGCAGGAAAGTTTGCTAGGCTTTTGTTTTGGGCTATAAGCTTAATGAAGGCAGAAACATGTGTTTTTGTGTTCACTCTTTGACCTTCGCACCCTCCCCAGCATCAAGTGCAGAGACAAGAGGCCAGTGTGGATAAATGATCAGAAAATTGAAATCGAGGTTTGTTGAACAAATGTGTGCCCTATCTAGAGGCTGGATGCTTGGCTGTGGTCCCACCTCAGAGTATCACCCAGTAAGGAGCCAAATGAGGCTTTGAGCACATGTCCATCTGACTCTTGATCTCTTAACCACAACATCCAATGACTCATACAACTTAGTTGCTCTGTGTTTAATTTGGGCTGCTTGGTGCCTGGCCACTGCTGGTGCTTTTTTCCTTAATGGAAGTAGATTCTAGTGTAGACTAGTATGGAGTCAGGTTGAGCTCCCCAGGGTAAAGCAGGGGATCCAAAGAAAACACCTGGGGACGGGGGAAGGAGAAAAGGGAGGAGGAAAGTTGGGAAGGTCTCCAGGTCAGATGTCTTCAGATGTCATAGGTTCTCTGGTGACAACTGTCGGTAAGGCAGCAGGAGCTCATGGGAGAGAGTAGCTGCAGCCTTTGAGCCTCCACTGGGTCAAGGGCAGGTCCRGCTGTGATATGGTCACTCCTCTAGCCACAGTCTAATTGATGTTGGCCCCTAAGAGCAAGAAGTTCTAGAGAGAAGGCAAAAAGGACAGTCAAGAAAGGTCACTTGCTGAGCCACACATGYGCTTCTGGAAGAGAAGGTTGAGTGGGGTAGGCCAGTTCTTACATCAACCAGAAGCCTTAGGGACCTTCGCAACAAATTGTCCTATTAACTGCCTGTCCCCAGGAATTTATTTGCATCTCCCAAGTTACTCATTTCTGTCAGATACCCACAAATGTCACCTTCCTTCTCTAAAATTTGTGCCCCCAGAAAAATAAGTCACAATTGGTTGTTGCCTGCGATACTCAATTCCAGGGAAATGCTGTCCAGGATTTCCTTGGAATATATTGTGTGGGGCTGGGGTTGTGACTCAGTGGCAAAGCGCTTGCCTAGCATGTGTGAGGCACTGGGTTCAATCCTTAGCACTGCATAAAAATAAATAAAGTCATGTTGCCCATCTACAACTATAAAAACATTAAAAAAAAAAAGAATATATTGTGGCTGGGTGTAGTGGTGCACGCCTGTAATCCCAGCAGCTCAGAAGGCTGAGACAGGAGGATCGCAAGTTCAAGGCTAGCCTCAGCAATTTAGTGAGACCCTGTCTCAAATTAAAAAAAAAAAAGCCCCGGAGTATAGCGCAGTGGTAAAATGCCTCTGAGTTAAATCTCAAGAACTCCCTCTATCACCACCACCAAAAAACTCCACTGTGAACAGCGAAGACAGTGGCACACAGTACCTCTGGGCCTATGAAAGTGCTCTGGTTGTGCTGCCTCTGCCCCTGCTAAGTTCCTTCCACCTAGAAGGCATGCTCTATTTTTCTCCACACCATCCCCTGCTTCTGTGGGTGGGAAGGCTGGTCAGTGACCCAGGGAGACCCACGCACCACCAATGAGATTCTAGGCCTGTTCAGATGGCCCCTCATCAACCCAGAAGTGGCATCTCATGTTCCTGCTGTGCACGGCTGAAGTGCCCTGCAGTCACAGATGCTCAGTGACTGTCGGATTGTTGAGAAGTGAGTTTGGAACATGAAGTCAAGAGTCCAGATTACAGATGCTATTTAGACTCCAACATTTGAAACAGATTATTATTTTTTCTTAAAAATTAGGTCCAGGTTGTATGTGGGGGTCAGGGCTTGCTTCCATCTCCACCAGCCCCTGAAGCAGCCTCCCAGCAGGGCTTAGAGCCCCCCCAGATCCCACTTCTCACCTCGTGAATCTGGAGCTCCACACTGTTGAGGAAGATGTTCTTTGGAACGGGGATTGGAAATCCCTTTTTGAGCTGGGCTGGAAGATAAACGGCGAGAGGCGATAGAAAGCATGAGTCAGCTGCTGGCTACTGGGTCCAAAGCTGGTTTAGGGTGGGGACGTAGAGGCCTGGAAAATGCAGCCTCTTCAGGAGGGGATGGATGTGGACAGCTTCTTGGGCCTCTATCAACCCATTTGAGAGCCCAACCTCACCCCCACATGAAGTGGCTAGGCCTGGGTGTGCAGTGTTCATGTCTAGGGACTCATCCCTGAGGGCCACACTCTGCCTCTCCCTCTCTCAGATCTTTGTTTTGCTCTTATCTCTTGCTCATAGATGTAGATGGTGAGGCCAACTGGAGAGGGAAGGGTGGGAGGTCTGCTAATTCTTAGGCAGCCACTGGACAAGTACTATCTCCAGCAAGGTCCCCTGGCTTGGGACCCAGGGATGCTAACTCCAGGTGTCCCGCTAGGGGTCAACTATTATGTTACTCCTTTGGCCTCACTCCTATGTCTTCTTTTTTTTTTTTAAATTGGGAATTGCACCCAGAAGTGCTTTACCACTGAGATACATCCCCAGCCCTAATTTTTTTATTTTGAGATAGGGTCTAAGTGGCTGAGGTTGGCCTTGAACTTGCAATCCTCCTGACTTGACCTCCTGAGTTGCTGGGATTACAAGCGTGCATCACTGTACCTGGCTTAACTCCTGAGCTTTGAGACAGCTTATCCCTCATGTCTAGGGAGCTCTGCCTGATCTCTAAGTCCATGCTCTCTCCCAGCTCCTGTGGTTCCCTGAGCTCCCTTCTATAGGCACCTGTTACACATCTGCCTTCTTAACAAGGTGGGAACTATGGGGCATGGGCCGTGGATTGCCAGCATCCCAGGTGGAACAGAAGAGAGGCTCAACTTGCTGAACGAATGAACCAGGAATCCTGTGGGGAGGGGAGAACCCAGCCTTTGTACTCTGGTGCAGGTGGTGGCAGCTCTTCTTACCATTGATAGAGGGGTAGATGACCTCGCGTGCGAAGAGGTTGAAGATGGTTTCCATCTCTTCCACCTGGAGCACAGATGGGGCCAGAACAAACGGACATGAAGAAAGAAAAGTCAAGGGAGGATCAAGGGAGGAACATCCGGTCCCACCCCTGGAAAAATGGACGTCACCCCATTTAAGGCACAGATGCTGACTGACTACCACTCTTCCAAACAGCCCCTTGCTCACAATGCAAACCCTAGTCTCTGCATTTACTTTCTGTAAGAGCATGCAGGCCCAGTGAATGCCGCACCATGATGTGAGTGCTATTTCGTGTTTATTTATGCCACTTTATGTGAACATTGTTAGGTTTTGTTGCAAAAATATCACTGTTTGATTATAGAGTTTCCCCTGGTCTTGCTGGGGAAGTCAAAGGATGCATGCACTGTATTATGTCTCAGATATTCTCAATCCCTAAACCCATCCATCCTCAGGGGTTTGAATAAGGCATTGTGACGCTGAGCCATTCATATTCCAATTGTGAACATAGTCAAGAGCTTACTGTGTCTGAGGCACTGGGTCAACGTGTTTTACGTAACACACTGCCTCATTTCATGTGACAGGCCCCATTTATGGTAGATGCCATTCATCTCATTTTCAGTAGAAACTGAGACTCAGAAAGATTAAGCACCTTGTCCATGATCACCTAGCTAGCAGGTGGCACAGCCTGTATCTTACTCCAAAACTCGCTGTAAGAGCCTGTTGCTCTTTAGCCCTCAGATGGAGCCCTTTGTATAAGGTAAACTTTCAGATATGGGATCTCATTCCTCCTGGCATCTCTGTCTGGGACTTGGTTGCGTCTCCTGGAGCATAACGGAACCTGTCTTGGCAAAGACGATTGAGAGACACTGATGAAAAGTAACTCACGTCGACAGAACCGATGTTGGAGTGTTTCAATTCGAGTTTCAGCTCACTGTGTAGAGAAAGAGACAAGTGTGGGTCACTGGGCCGTGACCCCCATTTTCTTGTCACCCCAGTGAAATCTGCAGTGTGTTTGGAGGCAAAGGCCTGTTGCCTGGAGACTGGGTGGCCCGCAGTTCCTCGAAGTGTGTCCCTTGTGGGTTAAGGTATGCATTGTGATCTGAGAGGAAGTGCCATTGTTAAAAAGAATGTTTGCAGAGCATTTTAATAAGGAAATTATGATGGAATAAATATTAAGTGGAAGTGAGCGTGGTGATACATTCCTGTCATCCCAGCGGCCCGGTAGGCTGAGGCAGGAGGAAGGCAAGTTCCAGGCCAGCCTCAGCAACTTAGTGAGGCCTTAAGCAACTTAGTGAGAACTTTTTTCAAAATAAAAAGGTCTGGGGATGTGCTTAGTGGTTAAGCTCCCCTGGGCTCAATTCTCCAGTATTAAAAAAAATTATATGGAAAAAGTGGAATATAAAACATTCCACTCAGTGTTTCCAATTGTATAAGGAATGTACTTTAAAAAGGGTTGGAAGAGGGCTGGGGCCGTAGCTCAGTGGCAGAGCGCTTGCCTAGCCTGTGTGAGGCACATAAAAATAAACAAAGGTATTCTGGCCATCTACAACTACAAAAAAAAAAAAAAATTAAAAAAAGTCTGGAAGAAAACAAACTTATGAGCAGAGTTAGTCTCTGTGTGGCAAGTTTAGGGGTGATTTTGTTTTTACACTTAGGTAATTTCCAACTTTTCTTTTATAATGTAAAAGTGGGCAGTGATTTATATTAGATGGAAACATGACGTAAAGAGGGAAGCAAGGCCCCTCAACTGGTGCAGGAGTGAAGGAAGACAGTGGCTAGGGGCACCTGATCCCCGTCACTGTAGAAATCAGGTCTCCACTGATTTTCCTCCTGCTGGGCTCTCCTCTTGCTCTGGTTCCCTTGTTCAGGAATTCCAATAGCCCAGGATGGATCTCCCTGCTTTCTATCATGGGGTAGAATGGTCTTTGAGAATTCCTTGGAAAAATCCTCATTCCAGACCTTTGTGGGAGGCCATCCTCTCACGTGATTTGAGATACCTCCCTGGCTGGGTGAGAGGCGCGTAGGCATATCTTGTGTCCAGAGCTTTCCCCACCCTTCTCAGGTCCGAGGGCTTGTCCGTGCAGAGGCGTGTCTGGCCACTACCCTGAAGACCCAATTGTCRCCCCTGACCTTGGGATGCTGTCCCCTTAATCTTCATTGGATGGGATTTTCCCCCAGAATTTTTTGTTCCCCAATAAAAGTCCACTCCCTGGCGTGTTCGCTGTGTCTCTCGCTGGCCTCTTCAGTAAACCTCGCTACCACAATAGGTGGCTGGAGGCTGGAGCTAGGAGGAGCCATCCTGGAGCTGGTTTAAAGGTAATTAGAGTCTTGTCTCTTTAATTAAAAACTCCCTAGAGATTTCTCACGTTTCGAATCTTCATTCACGAGGGCTAAAGTCTTTGGCTGTCCTGAGACCCCCAACCAGGAGGTCTATGCCTACGTGCAAACTCTAGGGAACTCCAGAAGTCCATCTGTCCCTACCAGCTTTCCCACTGCCCCAAAGGCTCACCATTAACTTCTCTCTCTCTCTCTCTTTTTTGGGGGAAGGGGTTATTAGGGATTGAACTCAACCACTCAACCACTGAGCCACATCCCCAGCCCTATTTTGTATTTTATTTAGAGACAGGGTCTCACTGAGTTGCTTAGCACCTCACTTTTGCTGAGGCTGGCTTTTGAACTTGTGATCSCCCTGCCTCAGCTTCCCAAGCCACTGGGATTACAGGCGTGTGCCATTGCGCCCGGCTATTAGCTTCTCCTTTTAAAGCATCCTAAGACGTTCATTTTAATGGGGCCAGGGCATTTTATCAGCCCAAGCACATCTAGCAAGGAGCATCACCCAGAGCAGACAAGACACGGGGCTTGCACACCTGTAATCCCAGCAACTTTGGAGGCTGCAGCAGGAGCATCACAGTTAAAAGCCAGCCTCAGCAGCTTAGTGAAGCCCTAAGCAACTTAATGAAACCCTGTCATGAAATTTTAAAAAAATAAAAAGGGCTGGGGACTTGGCTCAGTGTTAAAACACCCCTGGGTTCAATCCCCAGTACAAAAAAAAAAAAAAAAACCCACAAAAACAAAAATACAAAGATGTGGGGCTTGGCACAGAGGACATGAGGTATAGAGGACAGGTGCCAACCCCCAGGAGGCGGTATGATCTCTGCTGCCCAAAGCCTGAACTCTTTCTGCATTGATCCACCACCTAAACCTTATGCTTATGGATTGGGAATCTGGGCAGGGGAGCAGTGGGCAGTGGCTTGGGGCGCTTCAATTTTCCATCCAAAATCTCCGCTTTGTGACAGTGGACACTTTTCCTCAGAGGTAAAGTCCTTATGAACACAGCTTCAAGCTCTACCCTCCATCTTGACCTACACTATTCCTTTGCAGAAGTTCTAGCTCCTCTGAAGCCTGCTGGGCGGGCAGGAGGAGCCTGGAGCGACAAGCATCTGGAGACACCTGGCGATTCTTCCCCCTTCCAGCTTTCTGTCACTGTGCCTTTTCTAGAGGGCACTCAGATCTGGTGGAGAGCTGCCCCCATGGGTCACCTTCAGTCCTGAGTGAACCATGCTGGCTGTTATGGCCACTGTCGGCATGTCGCTGTCCCCCCTCCTTCCTCTCCCGACTCCTGCTGTCTTACCTTTCTGGGGACACTGAGCCAACGATCCTATTGGAGTTCACGCCAATGGAGATGGAGAAGTTGGTTTTCTACAAAAGCAAAAGACCACTTAGGCACCTTGTTTGTTCCTGATCCAAGAAACCCCAGGCCATGTGGCCATGTGGAACGAATGGGCAAAAGCAGCTACCCAGGATTGTGCATGGTGTGTGGTGGCCCCACAGCTGGCACAGAAAAGGGAGAGCTGAGGCTTCATTCTCCCTTTTACTTGCCCAGGCTGACCTTGAACTTATGATCCTCTTGCTTCAGCCTCCTGAGCTGCTGGGATTACAGGTGGGTGCCTCGGTTCCTGGCACATGTCTCCATTTTAATGAAAGCATTGGGAAGGGGAATAAGCCCAAACTTGAACAGGGACACTTTAGTCTGTTTGACTGAGTTCTTCAGAGCAGACTCCTAAGGGACTTTCATGGAGTCCCCAAGCCCGGGAGAAATTTAGACGCCACTTACTGACACCCATCTTGGAGACTGAGGATTGGCTTGCCGAGGGATGGCATCGAGCCAGGTGATAGAATCGGTCAGTCCCTCAAAGCCCCATGCCAGCTGGGATGGTCAGCTGTCCACCTGGGCCACTTCTCACCAGGGGGAGAACTCCTACCTGTAACACCTGGTTGAGTGCTTGGGTGGCACCACTGAACAGCTTCATTTGAAACCTAACTGATGTCCCAAAGACTTGTGACAGGAAAAGGGAACCAGATTGTGTCTCAGCCAAGGACAGAAGGCTGGCTTCTGCTCATGTGTGGACAAGGTCCACATAGGCTTGAATGGTAGCCAAGAAATATTAAAAATGCCTGAGCAACATGTGTGGAGAGACTGGGTACACCAAGACCCATTTCCTTTTCTTCTGGGCACAAAGTTGGACTACATATTTCCCAGCTTCCCAGACAGTTAGGTGTGACCGTGTGACTAAGTTTTAGCCAATGGATGGTGCGCATAAAAAATGTGTGTTACTTCAAGACCTGGTCAATTAAAAGACCTCTATGATCTTCCACCTACTTTCTGCACCTACTGAACTGTGTGGAGGGGACTATGAAGCTTTAAAGGAGAGAGGAATCACAAGGCAGAAGGAACCTGGGTCCCTAAATGGCCATGTGGAAGGCCATCTGCCAACTAGAAATGACTGATGGATTTTATGTGAGATAAATTTTTTACTGGGTTAGACCACTAGAATTTATTTTTATTATGGTAATTAGCTTCCTCTAGCTACATATGACTGTTTTGAATTCTTTAATTTTTTAGTTTTGCACTTTTTTTGCTGTTGTTGTTTGTATTGGGGATTGAACTTGGGGGTACTCGATCACTGAGCCACATCCCCAGTCCTATTTTGTATTTTATTTAGAGACAGGGTCTCACTGAGTTGCTTAGTGCCTCGATTTTGCTGAGGTTGACTTTGAACTTGTGATCCTCCTGCCTCAGCCTCCCGAGCCTCTGGGATTACAGGCCTGTGCCACTTTGCCCAGCAAGGCTTGTTTTATGGGCCAGGATATGGTCTGTCTTAGGATGTAGACATTTGAAAAGGATGTATTTCACTGTTATGGGTCATGGTATGAGTGTTGTTCTTTTTTTCTTTTCACTACTGGGGAATTAAATCCAGGGTTGTTCAACCACTGAACCACCCCAAACCTTTTCATTTTTTATTTTGAGAAGGTCTCACTAAATTGCTGAGGCTGGATTTGAACTTGTGATCCTCCTGCCTCAGCCTCCTGAGCTGCTAGGATTACAGGCCTGTGCACCATTGTGCCCTGAATGAAAGTTTTTAAAAAGCCTGTTAGAAAAAAAATCTGTTTGGTTGGTGGTGTTGAGCTCTGTATCTGAGCTGGTTTTCCATCTAGTTGCTTTGTCAGTTGCTGAGAGCGGATGTTAAAATCTCCAGCTATGGTCAAGTCTGTTATTTGGGGCAGTTAAATTCTATGTATTTGCTGTGAACATGGGATTAGTGAATACTGAATCAATGCCCTTTGGGGAAATACAAGATTAAGTTCCTTTGTGTCTCTGGTCACATTTTGTTAACTGATCAATCTATAACTTTGTTTTATGAGTGTTTAGAGATACCTTACTTAACACGTATGTATTATTGATTCCTTAACATTGAACTCATAGCCAATGGCACTATAACTCATGCCTGTATGAAGTATATATAACACACACATTTTCTTTGCTAGGCAATCACAGCCTTCTTATACTTAAGAATTCTAGAATTCTAAAAAAAATGAGGAAATTAAAAAAAAAAAGAAAGATAAAGAAAACTAGAAATCTGGCTTCCCAGTTGGCCTTTTCTGGCTTGGGGGTAAGGCATAATTTTTTTTTTCTAGTGTTTGGCTAGAGAGAGAAGAGTTTTTTATCTGTGCTTGTTGGTATTTCTGGGCTGTTGACTTCAGCTCCAGGTTGGGATATTTGAAGGAGGGAATTCATTACCAGGTTGTCCTCCAGACCCTGAGATCCCTGGCTCATCTGCCTTCTCTCCCCATCCTACAGAGTCTTATTACATTTATTTTGTATCCAGTGTCTAGAGTTTTTAGTTGAACTTAGCAGGAGGTATGGGGAAACGGACATCTATTCTCTCTTCTTAGAATTGGAAGTTCCCCTTTTGAAGTTCTCTTTTTTGTTATTGAGTTATAAGAACTCTTATATTCTGGATACAAATTCCTTATCAAGTATATATTTTGCAAATACTTCCATTTCATGGGTTGTCTTTTCACTTTCTCATGCATCCCTTGAAGCACAAAAGTTCTTCATTTTGATATTCAATTTATCTATTTTTAATTTTATTGTTTATGCTTTTAGTGTTAAATCTTTGAAGATTCTGCCTAGCTCATGTAGATTTATGCTATATGTGTGTATTTGTGTGTATAATGTATATATGTATGTATATGTTTACATATACATACATACATTTTAGTTGTAGGTGGACACAATAACTTTATTTTATTTATTTATTTTTATGTGGTGCTGAGGATCAAACCCAGAGACTTACATGTGCTAAGCGAGCACTCTACCATGAGCCACAACTCCAGGCCCAAAAGTTATGTTTCTTTTTAAGTTTTATGTTTTAGATCTTATATTTAGGTATATACCCATTTAGAACTAATTTTTGTGTATAGTGTAATAAAGGGGTATGATTTCATTCTTTTGCTGGTGGATATCCAGCATTATTTATTGGGGAAAAAAAAAACTATTATTCCTTTTGAATTGTCYTGGTCTCCTTGTTGAAAATCAACTGACCATAAATATGAAGTTTATTGCTMTACTCATAATTTGTTCTATTGATTTCTATGTTTATCTTTGATTATCACAGCCTTATAGTCAGTTTTGAAATAGCAAAGTGTGAGTCCCAACTTTATTTTTCTTTTTCAAAACTGCRTTGGCAGTTCTGGGTAACTTGAATCTCAATGTGAATCTTAGGCTCCTGCTTGTCAGCTGACAAAAACTGACCTGGAGTTTTGTTAAGATTGCAAATCAGTTTAGACAGCGTTGCCAAATACTATGCTGCCTTTAAACCTTCTTTAAGAAGGCAATTTGATATGCTGGGAGCAGTGGCACCCGCCTATAAYTGCACAGTTGAGAGGCTGAGGCAGTAAGATTGCAAGTTTGAGGTGAGGCTCYGCAATTTAGCAAGATCCTCAAGCAACTTAGCAAGACCCTGTCTCAAGATAAAAATAAAAGGGTCTGGGGATGTGGCCCAGTGGTTAAGTGCTCCTGGGTTCAATCCTCAGAACCAAAAAAAAAATTATTTTATGATTTTTATTTATAAAAATAAATACTCTACTTCCAGTTCTACTGAACAAGATTGGGGGRTGTTTTAAATGTAAAAAGATTACAGCAAACATCTRGGTGTAGTGGTGYTCACCTGTCATCCTAGAGACTTGGAAGGCTGAGGCAGGCAGATTCAAGTTGGAGACCTGCCTGAGCAACTTAACAAGATTCTGCCTCAAAATAAAAAATAAAAAAGGTCTGGGATGTGGTTGGTTCATTAGTAGAGTGCCCCTGTGTTCAGTCCCTGGTGCCTCAAAAATGTGTATATGGAGAGAGAGAGAAACAGTGAGAAAGTGAAAATGTTCAACYTGGCTGGAGCGAAGCCTCGAGGTTTCTTGCCACTTTGACAGYGGGCAGTTGGTGAGCCATGGTGACTTAGGAAGCCTGGTTATTAGGAAGGGGGGCCACTGACGCTGCTGGGAGGCATGAATAGCCGTCTGCAGGTATCAGCTCTGTAGTCACCTCTCAGCTAAGGGAGTGACTTCCACCCATGGCAAGCAGGACCCTTTGCTGCCTGATCAGGGCCAAACTTACCACCCTGAGCTGGAAGAGTGGCCTGCGGTCAGAGGAGTTGGGCAGGATGCCGAAGGCTTGGACGTCCATCACAGGAGCAAGGGTCACATTTCCAGGAGTGAACCACAGGTGCGGCTCTGATTCAGGGGATGCCTCCAATTGTACTTGCATATTGGGGAACAACCCGGCCAGCTAAAGAGAGGGAGCAGAGATTCATAGCACAGCAGAGACCTCAGGGACCCTGAGATGCGGTGGGGAAGGCCARATGGGCAGGTCCCCAAGGGGCAGATCTCTAAGGGTCCTAAGCCAGCAGGGGAAATGTCCCAGGATGGAGGGAATCGTATTTTCCAGAAGTCCTTTCCAAGAGATGGCTGTCAGGGTGGGAAGGGGCACCTTGATGAAGTGTGTAGGTGACMCAGCACCCAGTGGATGTGTTTAAGTGACTTCAGATGGTCACCATGATGCCTTCCAAAGCCAGCTTGCCTTGTCTGGCAGGTGAGTTGGGGGCTGGAGCTTGAATGCTCTGCTCTGCCTCTGCCACTTTTCAACTAGCCTCTATAGAAACATCAAATAAATATTGATAATCATCRGCTTAGCCCCCAGTGATCAGCCTGCCCAAGGCCCTGCATTTGTGCCGAGAAGGGCCTCTGCATGTGGGCACTGGTCGATTGCTTTTATCTTCCATGTGAGAATCTCGGGGGGCGGGGAGATGCCATCCTCATCCCCATTTGTRAAAGGAGGAAACCGAGCCCAGCGAGGTTGAGTCCAAAGCTAGGARATAGCAGAACCAGGATTCAAATCCAGGTGGTCAAATCCAGATCCCATGTCCTTRTGCCACAAGGAGTCGGGGGATGACAGGAATTGATTTTACAAATGAGGAACTTTTATTTTTTTACCCATTTTTTTCTGTTGGGTAAACTGTACCCAGCCCATTGATGCATGTTCCACAGCACCCAAAGGATCTCTAGTCCCATTTGAAGCCCTCTGCTGGTGCCCGGCCTCCTTCTCTCCCCTACTCACGTGCCCATTTGAGATGGTGACATTCAGGAGCCCAGCCTGGTGGTAGACCCTGCTGGCTGTGTTGAAGACGTACTCGGAGACTGCGAAGTAGACCATGCGGTCATACTGTTGGGGCAGCATCATGGCTGGGGCATCGAAAGGGACTGGGGTGCGTTGGCTTTGGCTGAAGAATTCACCCTGGAGACAGAGAACTTACCMGTCACCCCAGTTCCTACCTGTTAGGGTGAAGGTCTCAGGCAGAAGCATCCAAAGCCTGCCAGGTGGAGGCCTCCTGTGCCCTGGGGACAGCTRGGGTAGGGTTCTTCTCCAGAGTGAGGGGTCAGTGTGCTCAAAGATTCCCTCTAGACCCCACTACCTGGGTCCTGACAGCTGCCTRAAACTGATAGCCCAAAGAGACCCGGCCGGGGGCAAACTTCATGGATCATTTCAGCCTTTTAATTAKGAAGAGGACTACCCCTGGGGGAATGGACCCACGCTCCTGGTGGAAAATGAGCCACTGAACAAAGGAGGGGACTGGGGGCTCACATAGGCTGTGGGTGGTTTAGTGCGCATGTCAGTCTGAGCACTCAGGAATTTGGGTTTTGGGGCTGGGGGTCAGTGGCCAGCACCTGGAGAGGAGCTGTCTTGGGAGAGATTAGTGTTTCCTAGAGAGTCAGTCTAGTCTTTAGAAACACTTTCTCCCTGTCCGTGGCCAGCATCTGAAAAAAGGCTGATCTTGAGAGAGATAAGAGCTATCCGTGTCTGCCTCTCTTTTCCATTCCCTTCTCCCAGTCCTCACTAGTTGGGGGTTTTCATTTTCCATATCCAACAGGAACCACTCATCAGCGTGGCATCCCTTTGGGGTGGACCAAACCTCCTGTGTCCTTAGGGGACCACGACAGAGGAGGCACAGCCATGGTGAAGAGCATGGAGTTTGGAGCCCCCCGCCAGGACTGGAATCCTACGTCTTGCTAGCTCTGGACCTTGGGCCAGTTACCAACTTCCTCACCTAAAAAAGGGGACGGGGCTAATGGTGTGAAATCTCGGTCAGTTATTATTTGTACAAACTCTTAAAACTGACCCACAGCAAGAGGCAGGTAAGTGTGAGCTAAGGCAGCTCCAGGGCCTGGCTCCACCCACGGGGAGTGAAGAGGGAACACTGGGAATGCAGAGGGGTATGTCCAGTTCCTCTGTGGCTGTAGGAAATGACCACAATCTTAGTGGATCACAAATTAATTCCCCATGGGTTTGGGGCCCGCGATGCTTCTGAAGGCTTCCAGGGAGACTCGGAAGCCTTGGAGGCCACCAGCTCTCCTTGGCTTGAGGCCTCCTCCCCACCCCTAACCTCCCGCCCCTCTCCTGTTCTTCACCTCCTGCCTCCCTCTTGTAAGGACCTGTGAGCAAACTGAGCCCAGCAGGATAAACCAGGATAATTTTCCCATCTCCAGGCCCTTAATCACATCTGCAAAGTGCTTTTGCCATATGTGGTGACATTTACAGACTCTGAGGGTTAGGATGTGGACATCCTAGGGAGCCATCGTGCAGTCTGCGAGGGGTGATGCAGGCAGTAGAGAGTGTCCCCTTATGCATACAAGTGCCAGGTACCTGCTGGGAATCTTATGCACATCATCTCACTTAATTTCCTGTAAACTCTGAGGGGTTAAGGCTATGATTATTTCAATTTAATAGAGGCTCAGAGAGGTTAAATAACTCTTCCAAGCACCTCAGCACATAAGTGGTACAGCCAGGACTTCAAGCCCAGGCCTTTGTATTTCAGACAGATTTACCTCATTGGTTCACAGAACCCCTGCATTAGGTCTTGGTCTGTTGTGACTAGTGCCACCGGTGCCCACCCTGGACACTGGTCAGGGACAGTGACTAACAGGTAGATGAACTTGAAAGGAAAAGGAAGAGCTGACTCTGAGAGGTGAATCTGATGCTCTACCAGTCTTCAGTTCCAAGGTGCTCTCTCTATAGCCCCTTACCTTGATGGGTATGTCCACACTTTGAGAGGTCACCTGGGGAGCTCCAAACAGTCTGTAGTCAATACCAGCAACCTGGTCAATCATCAAGGTGACTGTGGGAAAGGAAAGAAGCAGCCTGTGAACACGCTGTTCCCAGCTAATTACAGTTGTGCAAGTTTGTGCAGCACAACTCCAAGGAACTCATTAACACGGAAATGGGGTTGGGGCCAATTCTTGGTACCTTTAGCCAAGGAAGGGAGAGGGAGAAGGAGTGGAGGGGGGTGTGAAGGGAAAAAGGAAGGGAGGGAGGGGGAGAGAAAGAGAAAGAGAAAGAGAGATTGTCTTATTTGTCCACTCTGCTCATTCAATTGAACCCAGGGGGTTCTCCAAGCTATATCCTGAGCCACCCCCTCCCTTTTTGAGGCAGGGTCTCACTGAATTGCTGAGACTGGCCTAGAACTTGCAATCATCCTCCTCATCCTCCCCAGTCTCTGGGATTACAGACAGGTGCCACTGCACTGGGCACATTCAATATTTTATTGAGCACCTGCTCTACACTAGGCGTGATGCAGGTGCCAAAGAAACAGCTGTGAATAAGGTGGGCAAAGTCTCTGTCCTCACGAGTCCAGAGGGGAAATAGGCAGTCAGACACTTGAGCAGATAAATGTAACACTGCAGCTGTATCAGGCAGCAGAAGTCCGTAGGGTGATGCAGCCATGCAACTGGGGCAGAGCGGGTGTAGGCAACTTAGCTTGGACAGGAGTCAAGCAGGGTTTCTGAAGGAGGGGTTGCTGGGGCTGGGATCTGGAGGAGGAGGTGTTGAGTGGATGCGGGGGGGACACGGAGAGGGCATTCCTGGCAGAGGGGGCAATGTGGGTGCAGACGGTGCAGCAGAACGGAGGTGGTAGCTAGAGGGACTCATGGGCCCATGTGGCTGAGCAAGTGGGGACAGGAGCAAGATGACCCTGGGGACTGGGATGGACAGGCCAGACCACACAGGGCCTGCTACCAAGGCTGGGCTCAGTATTCTGAGAATCACAGGAGTCTGAGACAGTCTCCAGGAGCATTGGTGACCCCCTGTGTTCCTGTGGCAGCAGAGGTGAGGGTGGGAGGGCCTCAGCCCCACCCAGGGATTTCACAGCACCCTGTTTTGTTAAAGCAGCCGGCACACGCCAGATACTGGGGATTGAACTCAGGGGCACTCGACCACGGAGCCACATCCCCAGCCCAATTTGTATTTTATTTAGAGACCAGGTCTCACTGAGTTGCTTAGCGCCTCATTAAATTGCTGAGGCTGGCTTTGAATTTGTGATCTTCCTGCCTCAGCCTCCCGAGCCCCTGGGATTAAAGGCATGCACCAACGCACCCGGCTCCCAGCAGGCTTTTGAATACCTCCTCAATCCCTTTTCTCCCCATCTCCAGAGAACAGATCCCAGGAGAGATGGTCACCCCAAAGCCATCTCTGCAGGATGGAGATACTCAATGGCAATTCTCCCAGGGCTGCCCCAGGGGTGACGGTTTCAGGGAGGCCCAGTGACATGGCATCTGCAGGCACCCAGAGAAGTCGGGTGGGAGGGCTCCAAACCTGGCAGAGTCTGGAGGTAGGGCTTCAGGTGCGAGTCTGATGACTTCTTGATCACTTCGCAGATCTGTCGGAAGTGGGTGAGAAAGTGGGGTGAGTCCTTCCTCCGCCTTTCCCTGGCGATGCCCTTGGCTTCCCCACTCCTCTCTAGGAACCCTGGTGGCATTCCTGTCCCATGGGCACCTCTGTGTGTGCGCAGGGCAGGGATATGATGGAAAGGAAGGAGAGACCACTCCCCCCATGCACACAGCACTTGGCCGCTGTTCCAGTTGGACTGGCCTTTCACGCAGGAGGGCCCAGTTTACGTTCCTGGACTTTCCTGGAATCCACATTAAAAGTGGCTGGTGGTCAGGCTGGCCTTGCTCTGGGGTGTGCTATTGATACTGTCCTCAGATCAATGTGGTGCTGGCAGCTAAGGCACCAAGAAGTGCAGTACTTACACGGAGTTATTAGAACAGGGGGACAAAGCAGTGGAGCTCCTTGGTACAGGGCGCAACTCTGGACTCAGAGACTCCACACCCCATTCCCTGGCCCCTTTGACTCCTCTTCCTACTTGCTTCCTGAAACCGCACCATTAATGCCCCTCTGGAATAAGGGGGAGCCTCCGCAGGCAGTACTGACTGCAGTCACTAGACGGCGCCAAAGCAAAGCAGAGGCGGGTTCCAGTGGATTCCAGGGTCCGCCTTGGCTGCCAGCTTCCTGCTGGATCCGTCAGCCATGGAGTTCCAGGCTGGGGCGGTCCCAGAAGCTCCCAGTCTCGTAATTTCCCAATTTCAGCGATTCCTACACCAACTTCATGATTTTTGCCTTTCTCACTTTTGAACTGTCTGTTATTTCTACCAAGTGGTCTTATTAAAATCACATACATTAAATAAAAATATAGAAACTATCTCTTGTCAGTAGAAAACTGGTCTCCTTTGGCATAAAGAGGGAATAACTGGGAAAATGAACATGAAGGATTTATAAAAATATGCTCTGGAAGTCTGGCCAGATGCTGCTGCCTAATTAGATAATGCCCTCTTTGTATTTAGGGGAAAAAATTGTTTAGGATGCATTAAACCCCACTGAAATGTCCTGTCTTTGACATAAGAAGAAATAGAAAGAATACTGCAACTGGAGTTACTTATTCTGTCATTCTGCATGATTTAATACTGAGGCTTCATAATTCATAAAATCAACTCTGGAGATTTCTGCATTTTGAGAAGCATTGTTTTAGTGCAAAATTCTAATCTAAGCCAGCCAGAGGTTTCCAGGTAGACCCAACCAGCCTCTCCTGGACCTTTGAGCCAGGCAGTGTTACTCAGGAACCAGCCCTTCCAAGGCTTGGAGTGTGACCTCCTTAGATCTTCTCCATTGTCCCCCAGGTCCCTTGGCCAAAGATCCTCTTTCTGCAGAGCCTCCTGGAACTTGGAACTCACAGCTCTGTGGGAACTTAAGTCAGGGATGACATCTGAACCTGTCCATTCCCTGGGCTCAGCCTGCCTAGCACTAGCCTCATTCCCTCTGGACAAGTGGCATCCAGATTTTTCAATTGTAGGTCAGTGACTGCAACCCACACAGGACTGGTGGGGAGCTCAACTGTCTGTAAAAATAGCCTTACCCCTATTCACTCAGCTTTTACTCTATCCCTGGGTGCTCACTAGTTAAGTATATCACATTGCCTGGTCCTCAGAACAGCCCAGCAGGGTACATGTTGTATCTTGTGATTATTCCTATTTTACAGATAAGAATCCTAAGACTCCAAGAGTTAGTTAAGTCAGTTATTCAAGACCTCACAGCCAGACGATGACTGAGCTGGGATTTAAACTCTGAGCATCTGACAACAGAGCTCAAGTACTCAACAGGGAAGAGACCAGGAGGTGAGTCCAGTTGAGACAGGGCTCTGAGATGTGAGTGCGCTGAGCCCCACTTGTATACCAGATATTCTGTGAGTTTATCTCATGAAATCCTCACCAACTTTCTTCAAGGTAGGGGTCATTGTCTCCGGTGGGCTCACTGACTTGTCCCACAGTGCATGGAGTGTAAAATGAAGAGGTATCTCTCTGCCACCAAGACCAAGGCCATTCCCACTGCTATTCTCAATATGGGGTCTTACTTGGGAAATCAAGTTCTTAAGGTGAGATAGATACCTTAGATTTTCTCCTAAAAAAGTTTTAAGATATATTGTGGCATTTAAATCCACAGAACACCTGGAATTGAATTTCTGTATGGTGTGAGGGATTCAAAATCATTTATTGCCAGTCTTTCTCACTAGTATTACCAACAGTTAGATAATCAAATAACCTTGGTCAGTTCCAAATGCCGGTTTAGTGTGCGTGATCACACAAACCTGAGAAGGCCTTGACATTTGCTTTGCACCGTGAATGAGGAAGGTGTTTCTAAGCAAATTCAAATGACCACATACTTAAGGGAAAAGGCTCTTTCCAAATATCAAATAAGCAGATGCTTGGTGATTCATGTGCTAATGACCAATATGTGTATCTTTTTACCTGGTTTTCCAAGATTCTTTTGATACTGCTTTCAATTCTTTTACGGAAGAGATTCAGGATCCATCTGAAGAGAAGAGAAAGAAGGTCAGGATACATTTTAAGGTGAACTTAGGCTCCCAAAAGGAAGGCTACCCAGGGATCTGAACTTTCCCCATTTTATCTCAACAATGGGACCCAGGCAGATGCATTTAATCCAAAGGGGGAAAACCCTGGACAACCTTTAGTATAACTATGTACATCTTAAGGCCCACTTCTTCCCTAGCCCCCAGGTCTAAGAATGAGTAGCAAACCCTGTTCAGCCAATCAGAGCTCATGCTGATTAGTCTAGAGATGAGCATGTGACCCAATGTGGACCAATGAGAGCTTTTCCCAGGGCTTTTATGGTAAAGGATGCTTTCACTGAGGACCAAGGAAGCCTGAGCTCCCGGTGACCATCATTTCCACTCTAGGGTGGGGGACCCTGCCTCAGAATGAAACCAATAGAGAAAAAAGCAGAACCAGGAGCCAGAGATTCCCAGTGATGCTGGTCAAACACCTGGATCCAGTCAGAGCTACGACTCTATCCCCTGGCTTCCATGGGAACCACTCAAGTTCATTCCTGTCTCTTTTATTTTGATTTTGGTGCCGGGGACAAAACTTAGGGCCTCGTGCACGTTGGGCAAGTGCTCTACCGCTAAGTGACATCTTCAGCCCCAGTTTTTCAACAGATGACTGCTAAGTCATTGTAGAATCTTCTCGTAATGGAATAATTTGAAAAGGAAACTTGCTTTCTGATGAGGAAGGATTTACAAATACTCACGAAGTGAAGAAAAGCTAGGGATGTGAGATTGTATACAGCACGCTCCTCTCTGTGTAAAAACTGAAAGACTAAATACCCACCCGGGCAGTCAGAGAATTTCAGGACTCACACCTGGGATGCTCAGCCTTGGTTGCTGCTAGCAAGGAGAATTGATCGGCAGGGAACTAAAGTGGAGAGAGATTTCCCCACCCTGTACCCTTTTGCACATCTTGAATTTTGATAAATCACCTATTAAAAACATTTGAAAACATTTAAGGTGTAAGGTGGGGGTTAAGCCTATTCTTTATACCTTCCCCAAGCCTGCCAAACAATTTTTTTTCCCCAGCAGTTCAACAGTTTAGTTTAGTCACTTGTTAATTTCATGGAGATCCGATGAGTCGAAGCCACTGCAGATAAAGTCACCTGCAGAGCCTCCCTCCGACCACAGACAACCCCCTGGCAGAAGTGAGGACCGGGATAGGGTTCCCTCACCGTGTTCTTCCAAAGACTGTAGTCGAGGGTGAAAGGTTGTTGGAAACACAGGGACTAAGTTACTTGACTTACTCTGGCAACCTTTTCTCTCTCGTGAAGTTTCCTTTGCCATTCGGTTCCTGCTGGCTGATGGCTGGTGAGGTGCTGAGCAGGTGCAGGTGTGTATTACGATAGTAAAACCATGTGCCTCCTGGGTTCTACAGAAAGCATCCTGAACTTTCCAGAGCTCTACCCCCGGAGCAAACCTGGGACCCACAGCCTGCCTGAACCCTGGTCCCTGGATGGGCCTGAGCTGCCGGCTATTGCTGTAGACACCCTGGTTGGGGTCCCTGATGGCCATGGTTGGGGTATTGCTTCCAGTAAAACCTTCTACACCCATGGGTAGGCCTACAACCTGCGCCAACATATTGAAGCAGTAAGAGGTTTTTCCGTGGGTCACAGACTCCGTGAAGTCACCCTGGACTCCTTCCCTGCCTTCCTGCCCAAGTTCAACCTCTTCTCCCGCTTCCAGCGTCAGCAGCTGTCTGCAGCCCATCATCTCTCACCTTGACAACTGCCTCTGCCTGCAACCTGTCTCCTTCCCTTTGTGCTGCCTCACTCGGATCTCTCCTAAAGATGCTGTCTTTTACAGCAAAAATCTGATTTTATCACCCCTCTGACTTCTTAAAATCCTTCAATGGCTTGCCACTGCCCCGTAAGAGAAAATCCATAATCCTGTTCCTGCCTAATCCTTTAAATTCTTCTGGTAACCCCCACCCCATCCTTTTGAGGTACACTGACTTCTTTTTACTTCCTGAAAAGCACAGCATTTTCATGCCTCAGGATCTTTGCACGTGCTTCTCTTTATGCCAGTAAAGCTCTCTCCTCCCCTTCCCATTTTGCTTAAATTCCAGGCTCATTTCTGATATCCTGTCTTCCAGGAAACTGTCTTTATGCATAAGCTAGGCCAGTCCTTCTGCATTCAGAGCACCTGGTCTCTCCTTATGAGCATGTCATCATAATTATGTCAAGTGTAGTTCATCACATACTAAAATATTTAATACCACACTGGGGTAGAGACTCTGTCTATTGCTTCCTCTTATATATATCCTGATCTTGCAGTTAGATCAGGATCTGGTAAATAATAAGGGAATCAATAAGTATTTGTTAAATGAATGAGTTGGTAAAGCTACAAACTTTCCCGTTTTGGTCAAGACCATGTTTTCTCTCTATATATCCCTAGAACCCCAATCATGTAGCAGCCGCCAACAAGCAAACAGCTGAAAGATTTTTCTGGCCACACTATGTGTGTGTGTGAACTGCATAGAATTTCATGAATTTGCTCCTGAGAAATGGGGACTATGTCCACCTGTGAGGGTTCGATTATGAGATGTCCACCCAAAAAGCTCTGTGTCGATGCAGGAGGGAAACGATCAGATTGTGAGAGTTATAACCTGATGAGTGGATTGATTCATCTGATGGATTAATAATTGGGAAGGACTATTTACAGTACTGGGAGATAACTCTAGGCAGGCAGAGCGTGGCTGGAGGTCTTAGGTCACTGGGGCCGTGCCTTGGGGTTTATAATTGGTCTCTGGCCTTGCATTTCCTGTTTTCCGGTTGCCGTGAGCTGAGCTTTCCTTTGCTGTCCCTTCCCCATGATGTCCTGCCTCACCTCAGGCCCAGAGCAAGGAAGGTGGCCAATCACGGCCTGAAGACCACTAAAACTGACAGCCTCAAATATGCTTCCTCCCCTAAGTGTTCTTGTCAGGTGTTTGGTCACAGCAGCCCACCGCCTGGTTAAGACAGTGCTCCGAGGGCTTGAGCCTCAACTAAAAGTTTCCTTTCTCCTTTGGCAGATTCTGGCTGAAGCCTCCAAGCATTTGTGCAGAAAACATTAATCAGTGAGTAAATGAACAACTAACCGTCTCTGCTTCCCAAAACACAAATCGCCTGCAAGCCCAGGATGGCAGGTCTCCACGCTTCCGTGGGCATTTTGATCTTGTCAACGAGCCCCCCAGAACGTTAGCTTCTAGCAGAGAGGGGCTTGGCTCTTTACCCTGTGTGCCCCTGCTGCCTGCCAGGTCCAGCTCTGTCCTTCCGATTTACCTCCCAAGCCCTCTTGCTGGGCTTCTGTTGCTCTGCTGCCCCACCGTGTCCTGGTGACCGCCGTGTTCCTCCACGGGTACCCTTCTAGATCTGCAACGCCCTTCTCCCGCTCTGACCTTCAACCCTCGGGGTGATACTGGCCCCCTGCTGTCAGGTGCAGCACTCCTTGTAGGTTTCCACCATTCAGTGGACTCTTTGATTGACAGTCCCCTCAAGAGAGTCTTATCAGCTAAGCCAGTGGAGTTGCCTGCCAGGAGCTGAGTGATGCTGTGACAACTCAAATACTGGGAAAGCAGTCGTGCTGGAGACTGCCACCCTTCATTCAGTGTCCCCTGAGTATCCCCCATGGGCAAATCTCGTTGGCGTGCTGGGTTCCCACTGAAGACCATCTTGCCTGGGAATCAGCATGTGTTTTCTTAAAGAGACAGATAGTAAATGATTGGGGCATTTGCCTGTCCTGTGGGCTCTGTTGCCCCTACCCAGCTCTACTATTGTAGAGCTAAGGCAGCCACTACCAAAATGTAAATGAGTGGTCGTGGCTCTATTTCCATAACATCTTATTCACAGAGACAGGTGGCAGGCTGAATTTGGCCCACGGACTCCTGCTCCTGAAGACCCTGGAAATCTTGCTCTTCTGCCTGTTAGAGGGGCTGAATGAGGGTTGAGCATGTTACTGAGGCAGCACTGTCTCTAGCCAGTGTGTTGAGGTCACTTACCTTAAGCTTCCAGAAATGCGGACGCTCACTCGGCCAATGGAGTTGCTGCAGTGGTTTACGGAGGCCGTGGGTCGCCCAGTCTCATCCTTGCCCAAGTTCAGAGAGACTGAGATGGAAATGCCATCCACCTTCAGATCAAACGAGCCTTTCAGGTTGCTGGTTGGGGGAAATGAGAAGTAAACTGCTGTATAAGCTGAGTCACCATCAAGAAGAGCAACCAAAGCACAGCCCCAGATTTGTCTCCCAGGTTCCCACTAACCGGCTGTGCCTCCTGCCTGGGCYTCCCCTTCTCTTTAAAAACAGTGTCACTGAGGATTTGCTATGTGCTAGGCACACTGCTAAATGCCTTACCTCCGCTGTTTCATTTAAACAACGGCATCTCTGAGACGTGTTATTATTAACCCCATATCCCAGATAAGGAAACTAAAGCTTAAGGATTGTTGGATCTGGGTCCTTTATAGACCCGACTTTGAATAACCAGGGAGGGAGGGAGGGAGGGAGGGTGTGCCCTTGCCCAGAGCTGAGCCACATTCCTACCCGAGTGCTACTCACAGGAATCCTTTTTTCACCTTCCAGTTCCCACCCATAGACAGATCGTTGTTGGACAGGGAAGCTCTGATTCCCAGCCCTGGAAGTAGATTCAGATCTGAGTTTCGGACCTCGAAGTGATGGATCTTCAGGCTGGGGAGGAAAGCAGATGTCAAACCCATTAAAAAACAATCAAACAAACAAATAGGGGCATGGGGCTGAGGTTGTAGCTCAGTGCTGGTATGCTTGTCTTGCACTTATGAGGCCCTGGGTTCGATCCTCAGCCCCACTTAAAAATAAATAAATAAAATAAAGGTATTGTGTCCATCTACAACTAAAAACATTAAAAATAATAATAAAAATTAAAACCAAAATACAGGGGCCTGTTCATCCCTGAGTGAGTCCCCTCCTGTTCCTCTCACTCTCTTTTGCATATATTGACCTAACCCACAAAGGACCATCCAACCGTCTCCTGTGCCTCTTTCAAGATCCGCTCAGGCCTCCTCCAGGAAGCTTCTCCAACCCTCCAAGGCCAAGGCCCTCCTCTCTCCTTTGACACACATCCTCACGGCTGCTCCTGTCCACCCTGCTGACCTGACTCTGGCGAGCACCCTGTGAGCTGGCCTGGCTTTACCTGTCCTGTCTCCACCCTGAGGTCTCCAGGAAGCAGCTGTCCCCTCTGCTCTTTGCCCCTCATTACTTCAAATAGAAACAAGGGCTTGGGGCTATGGGTGAGTTACGCATACGCCAGGCCCTGGGTTCCATCCCCAGCACCACAGAACAAAAACAAGGACTCACGGTTCGGATCAGAGATCATTCCCTGGCAACCTGTGGGATATATATATATTTTTTCCTATGTACTTTTTTTTTTTTTTATAAATTATGAATCAGCTGTAAAAATGTGGGCAAACAACTAGATTTCTGGCTTGTCCTGAAAAAATCCAAAGGAAAATGCCACGCTCCCCACGGCATTGACCAACTACAGGCGAGAAGCGCTGTCCTCTTTAGGTGGGCACGCACCATGCTCTCCATTTGATTATTGGCTCTTAGATCCATTCCCTGGCCTTCCCATGCTCTGAACCACGTGGACTGGGACTGACCTGTGCAAACTACATTTCCCAGGCTCCTTTGCAATTGGCTTCTAGTTAGAATTGGCCAATGGGAAGTACTTGAGGGGAGTGTAGTGGAGGGAAGAGGGAGAAGCCAGGGTGTTTCTTCTTCTCTCTCTGCCAGAAATTGCCTTTGGCGGTGGTTCCACGTCCACAGTGGGGTCAGCTCCTATCAGACACCTCTTCAGGGACTGAGTCTTTCTGGAGGACTGACCGAGGGCTTGGGAATGATTTCTAAGGGTCTCTCTCTCGTTCTGATGATTCAAGGAGCACACCCCCCCCCCCTTCTGGAAGCCCCACAAGAGCTGGCCATCATCCCTCTGCTTTGCCGACTCCCTTCCCCAGGATCCTAGGTTTCCATCCTTCCTCCTCTGCGGCCCCTGATTTGGGGAAAGGAGACCTCACCTGTGAAAATTGTAGCTCCCCCGTCCAAACCAACCCATCTTGAAGCTTCCTGAGAAGTCAGGCAACCTGATGGCCGGCAGCTCCTTTCTCAGGGTGGCCACTGCATACTGGTTTGCTGGGTGGGGAGGGGGAAAAGAAGGATCTGTGAGCCGAGTGGCTTCATTCAGTGGGAGGCAGATTTGGTGGCCGGGCTGTAGAATCACACACGCTGGGTTAGAACGCAAGATGTGCTGTGTGCTCACGCACACAGTGTTAAGTTTTGCTGTGCTTAGCAAAACAAGGAGTTCTGTGAGAAAGTATGAACTCTTTGAACTGTGTCCTTGTTGCTGTCTTAAGAAGATAAAAGAATGTTCTGCCAAGTGTAAAATTTATATATATATATATATATATAAATTATATATATTATATATATATATGTATATTATATATGTATAAATTTTACACTTGGCAGAACATTCTTTATATATATATATATATATATAAAATTTATATATATTTGCCTGGGAATAACTAACCACAAGTTAATTGATAAGAAATATGGAGCACTGTGACCATAAACAAAGTTTGCCTGAGAATGTTTATCCATGCTTGTAAGGATTAAGCTGCCGAAAGGATGTTTTTTCTTTTCCCTTGTTTTAATTAACAATGCTGTATAAAAGAAAGAGAGAAAAAAGTAAAGACGGTGCTCATTTTCTACTGAATGCGTGTGTGTGCGTGTGTCTTTCGTAAGCATCTCTGCTACAGATTGTCAGCAGGTTCTGACAATGTGCCACTTACTACTGATGCAATCCCTTGAGCCTCAGCCTCCTGGTCAGGAAAATGGTAACCATGATAGTAACCTAAAGGCTTATTAAATTGGGTTGGGACTCAGAGCACCAGGTAAATGGCAATCATTGTTCTTTATTCCTTCAATAGATCTTGAGCAACAATGAATTACAGGGGGCTCTTGAGGAATCATCTGCTACAGTTTGGTCAAATCTCCTGCCCCTTCACTATTGCCTGGACAGTTTGTTAGCAGATTTTTAGGTCTGGCCCCAGTCAATATTGAGTGGATCCCCAGAATCTGTTTTTTTTTTTTTTTTGATTGAACCCAGGGGCGCTTAACCACTGAACCAATTCCCCAGCCCTTTTAATATTTTATTTAAAGATGGTGTCTCTCTAAGTTGCCGAGGCTGGCTTAGAATTCATGATCCTTCTGCCACGGCCTCCCAAGCTGCTGGAATTACAGGTGTGGGCCACCATACTTGGCCAGAATCTGTATTTTAGCAAATGTTCCAGTAATTTCTTTTTCAGTCGTGGAGCTCAGGCAATACTAGACAAGTGCTCTCTCAGTGAGCCACATCCCCAGACACCGCCCCCTGCTTTTTTAAGAACTTGACTTTTATTTTTTATTTTTTTATGTGGTGCTGAGGATCATACCCAGTGCCTCACCCATGCTAGGCAAGTGCTGTACCACTGAGCTATAACCCCAGCCCCCTTTTAAGTTTTCTTGGGGGAATGAGGTCTCACTAAATTGCCCAGACAGGCCTTTAACTCGAGATCCACCTGCTTCAGCCTCCCAAGTGGTGGGATGACAGGTGTGCATCACACCTGGCTCCCAGAAATTTTAATGTGGGAAAATTGCTGACCTAGTCTTTACCCTCTGATATTCAAGATGAGGAATTTGAATATATTGACCTAACCCACAACGTATCCCAAGATGTCCAAACCAGGTGGTGGAAGAACCCCATCCTGTGACTCATTGTCTTTGTGACCACACCATTCTGGTGGGCAGCAATGRGCCTCAGAAAAAGCAACTCAGTTCCCTTACCATATTCCAGGCCTTTTCTGGTGATCCTGGCCACAACTCCAGGATTAGAAGCTCCTTCTCCAAACCTGGCGGAACTTTCCAGCAGCAATAGGACCACTACTACATGGTACGGTCTGGCCATCATCCTTGCCCTCCTCAGTTCCTTCCTCTGCAGAGGTTGGTCAGAGGCTCTTCATAGGAGCCTCCCTTACCAAAGGTGAAGGCAGAGGCTGAGGTACTTATAAAGCCAGAAGCCGGATGAGATCTGAGCCAACTGGGGAGTGGGGTGGAGGTCTATTTCCCAGCAACTTGAGATGATGAAAAGGTTGCTTGTGAAATTGTTTGAGTTTTCTGTTTGCCACGCCTCCCAATTCTTCCTCTTCCAAACTTTCTGGCTCAGTGCTTGGGAGGGCCCCTCCTCCTCCCCTCCTGTCACACCCCTCTCTAGCTGAACACCAGCCATTCATTCCCGTTATCGGGAAATTGAAGTCTAAACACCCAGCTGGCAGTGAGGGCCATCACAGCATGGCTGCGTGCCACTGATCTCTCCAACCAGGCTGCCCGTGCTCTGTCCTCTGGCTGGGCCACCATCCACTGTTCTCTACTGACATCATGCCAGAGCCGATCAAATCAAGTCACAAACACAACAGGTGTATCCAGGAACTCCAAGTGGGTTTTCTCTTGCATGTGTTGCTTCTAATCAGCTTTTGAGGCATAATTTATATGCAATAAAATGCATACATGTTAAGTGTACCGCACCATGGATCTTGACACAGGCATGCACCTGGGGAACCGCACCATAATCCAGGTGTCGAACTTTCCATCACCCCAGGAAATCCCTTGTGCCTCTCCCCAGTCAATCTCCCTCCTTGAACCCTCTATCAGAAACCGCTGCTCTGCCCTCTAGGGCCCCATAGTAATTTTACCTACTCTGGGCTTCACATAAGTGCGGCATATCTTCCTTTCTGACGGGTTGCCTTCATGTTTTTAAGCTTAGTTCATGTTGTTTTGTATTTCAGTAATTTCTTTCTTTTTTTTAGGGGGTACCAGGGGTTGAACTCAGGGGCACTCAACCACTGAGCCACATCCCCAGCACCCCCTCCACCTKTTTTTGTATTTTATTTAGAGACAGTGTCTTGCTGAGTTGCTTAGGGCCTCACTAAATTGCTGAGGCTGACTTTGAACTCGTGATCCTCCTGCCTCAGCCTCCCAAGCCACTGGGATTACAGGCGTGCACTGTGCCTGGCTTCATCTCTCTTTTGGGTCCTCCCATTTTCTATCTCCTTTCCATCATATCAAGGCACGATCCTGCYGAGTCAGTGTCAGGAGACACAGGAAGTGCGGGAGGGCTCGAGGGAGCACGCCAGAGAGTGGGTGCTGGAGCTTGGTGTTGAAGTAGGAGTTGGATGAACAGAGAGAGGAATGGCGTCCTGGGTGGAGAGGTCAGCCCCGGCCAGTGCTATGGGCATTCTAGAGGGCACGAGGAGGAGTGGGAGGGTGTGGGCCAGGGGTGGGGTGGAGGAGAGGGGCAGGAGAGAAGGTGTGAAGCCGGGAGCAGGAAGCTCATCCTGAAGGTTCTTGTCAGAGAGTGAACACGAGATGATTTTGGATTTTCAGTGACTGCTGATGCTCATGTTCTGTCCGAGTCTGTCCCCTGGGTAGTGAGCTCCCTTCAAGACGTCCCCGTCCTTGTTGTATCACTTTTTGGTCCTCTTGGCTTCTTGGAGACTTGGTCCTATTCATGTGAAAATGGCGACCTCAAGGCCTCCTTAATGTCCTCCCCCTGGTTCCGGGCTGGCTTTCCGTGACTCTTGTGGCTTCAGGGACACGTGTGTGTGTGTGTGTGTGTGTGTGTGTGTTCTCTTCCCCTCTCTTTCTGTCTCTGTCTGTCTGTCCCTCTTGCTCTCTCGCTCTCACCCCCTCCTTCTCCTTCTCCCTCTCCCCTTCTCTGTTCCCTTGAGGAAGAGGAAGGGAAGCTGCCTGAGGTGGGTTGGGGGCTGTCACCTTGCTTAGGGTCCTTGCCGCTGGCCAAGCTTGATGTCTGCCAGTTCAGGGTGGCTAAGGAGGCCCCACCAGCCCTGATGAGGGTCTCATTCCCATCCGTGGCCCCAGGCAGGGACAGCTCCTGGGACAGCCATCCTCTGTCTTTGTCCCTCCAAGTCACATCCTCAACCCCAGGCCTGGGGTCAGAACTGGCCAGTTTTCCTTCCCTGTGGGAGTCTCAGGGAGGCCCCTGCCACCTGCCACCGTCCCATCCCTGGCCTGTGTTCTTCCCCCCTCCTCCTCTGGGCGCGGGCAGTTCAGCCGACAGCCRGGTAGGAAAGGAGATGTCAGTGTCCACTTGTTGCACTGCCCCTAAATTTCTAGAAGCTTCTCTCTGGGGGGCCTTCTTCCTTGTCTTATTTTAGGGGAACTGGTAGAGAATCCCTCCTGACTCACGGAGGATGGTGAGGGGAAAGGACAGCTGAGGGTCTTACCACCTCGTGAAAGCGGCTTCATCAAGAGCCTGGTGTGGGCAGCTTTGGGTTCTGCCCAGATGGGGCCAGCAGCAAGTGGAGGATGGACAGGCTCTGCCCGGGGCTGTGGGGTTGGACCCCAGAACTCCACAGGGGGCAGAACGCGGTGCCTGTGTTGGTTTGCCAGGGCTGCTGTAACAGCAAGCGAGGCGGCTTAACAGAAATCTCTTTTCTCACTGTTCTAGAGGTTGAGGGTCTGAAGTCAAAGCGTTGGCAGGGTTGGTTCCTTCTGAGGGGTACGAGGAAGGATCTGTCCCGTGCCTCTTCCCTGCCTTCTGGTGATTGGCAGGCAGCCTTAGCTATTCCTGGGTGGGTACATGCCTCACATCGCTCTCTGCCCTAAGGTTGCCCTAAGGTGTGTTGACTGCACCCAAACCTCCCTGTCCTAGGGATGCCATACTGAATCAGGACCCACCCTGATGATCCCATTTTAATCTAACTTATTATATCTGCAATGACCCTGTTTTAAAATAAAGTCGCATACTGAGGTACTGGAGTTAGGACTCCAACATATGATTGGGGGGATATAAGTTAACCCCTATTGGTACCCTATCAGCTACAGGAGTGACCGTGGCAACTTAAGTCAAGGAGATGCTGAAATTTGAGTCCTGTCCTTCTCTGTGCCTATATCCCATCCCCAGATGGGGTTAACAGTGTCAACTTGCAGGGTTCGTGTGGGGATTCCATAGGGAACATTTGGGAGTGTGCTGGGCCCCTGCTGGCCACTGACTCTGGGCAGTGACTTCATCTGGATTGGGGGCACCCCCTGAGCTGGCCTCCTGGGAAACCTCGTATTGCTGGAAAAGCAGAACCAACAGTGGAGAAAAACTTCTCATCACCTTTCTCACTTCCCCTTTGGCCAGGAATTTGGAAGCTCCTGTCAATACAGAGTTCAAGTTCCTCAAAAGCTCTGGGATGAAGCACCTGCCTCCTGTGGGTGTTTGGACAAGTGCTGTCTTCATTGGACCTGCTGGGGCACCTTGGGCTCGTCTGACTTGGGGTTCCCTTTGCCACATCATTCTGAGATTGGCCTTCCCACCAGTCTCCACCTAAATCCCTCCACTCCCAGGGAGGGAGGGCAGGCCAACCTAGAAACACCTGTGGCTGGACTACCCCTTGGTAGCTTTTCTTCTTCCAGCAAGTGGGCCCCTTGACCCCTTGCTTAGGTCCACTCCAGATATTAACCAGCAGTGTGGGCTTTGCAATTTTCATAGGTACTTGATTCTAGGCTCAATCCCATTCCCCAGGGACTGGGCTGATGCCATACTTTACTGGACCAAATCATATCTTAAGAAGCTCTGTCTGTCCGTGATAACAATAGAGATTCAGAGTACAAAAGGGTGAAAATAACCTTCCTCTGCCCCTGGCCCTGGTCTTCCAGCTCCCTTCCCCAGATGTAGTGTCCTTCTCATTCTTCCAGGAGTACTTTGTGATCATAAAAGCAAATGGACATGACAACCCAAGCCTTCTCCATCTTGCTTTTTGCACTTTACTGTAGAGCCTGGGGAGGGCTCCACATCAGCACGGGCAGATCTGGCTCACCCATTTGAATGACTGGAAGCATTTCATTATGTGGCTGTTCACAGCTTATTTTAATCAGTCTGCTTTTGATGGACATTTGCATGGGTTGCTTTCTTGSTTTGACAAACCTCACTCCAAACTATCACTGTGAGATTGTCTCCATGAGAATGAAGACAATCTGCGGGAGTTATTCTGAGAAGCAAATGTTCTGGGTGACAGGATATTGGCATTAACTATCTTTTGCTGGATTTTTGATAGATTGCTTTCAAATAAGACGAATCCATTTCCATCTGTTTTGTTATGGAAAGGGCTGAGGTCCTCTGTGGAACGGAGGCAGGAACTGAAACACACGTCTCATCTGTAGCCCAACACATGTCCACTCCTTGTGATGGACCCAGCCTGATTCCATCTTAAGGTTGGGAGCCATCTCATCACAACATCATGAAAAGTTCATTTCTATTTGGCCTGACCATAGTTGGATGTTTAAAAAAAAAAAAAAAAAAAACTTGCTTGGGATTCTTGCCTGTGCTTTGAACTTGCTCGGCCAGGCTGTCCCTGACGAGATAACCACCCTCCCTGGAATCCAGCTGCTCCTCCTTGACTTTGATGTTAGGATCTGAGTTTGCTCCTACCTTGAGATGTTAAACAATACAGATCATAAATCTGCTAACTGCCCTAGTATTACACTTGACAGAACCCTGACAGCTGTCAGTTCCCAAGACACCCTCCTATTTGTAACTTTTTGTGTTATAAAAACTTCTCTGTCACCAGACCAGCTGCTGTTCTTGGCCCTGTTTTTCCGGGTGAGGCAGCTGCCGGCCAGCTTTTGTGCACATGATATAAGCTTGCTTTAGTTTCTTTTAAACTGGACTCGGTGGTCTTTTTTTGCATCATGGTTCAACATTTGGAGACCCCAGTGAGATTCAGACCAACAAAATTCTGAAGCTGAACATTCGCTCTGGGACTCCAGGGCCTGAGCGCTGCCCCAGGGTTTGCGCACCTTGAGATGTTCCCAGGCCCTGGGGTGTGCCTTTCGTTCATCAGATTGCTGGAGTGAACTGTTGCACTAAAACAATTAGCAAGCATCCAGTGAGGAGGCCTCCATAGG